ACACACACACACATACACACACACACACAAACACACACACACACACACACACACACACACACACACACACACACACACACACACACACACACACACACACACACACACAAACAACCAGGGTAAAATACAAACTTTTAGGAAAAGTGAAATCTACTAACATCCAATTATACAAGTGTATCACTGAGTCAGACACACAGGCACTGTTTTATTTTTATTTGTACATTGAGAGACAGAGAGTTGTTTATGTCATTTAGCAGACGCTCTTATCCAGAGCGACTTACAGAAGCAATTAGGGTGCCTTGCTCAAGGGCACATCGACAGATTTTTCACCTAGTCGGCTCTGGGATTCAAAACAGCGACCTTTCGGTTACTGGTCAAATGCTCTTAACCGCTAGGCTACCTGTATATTCCATAGTGAGGTGTGTGTGAGTCCCTCACCTGGACCCTGCAGGCAGGGACACAGTGAGCATGTCGTCTGCAGGGATGGTGTTTCCCACATGGACTGCTGGTGGGGATGGGCCCTGGCCGAACAATCGTCACACGGACCTCCTCCCAGTCCTGCGGCATCTAACACAACACACACAGCACAATAACAGTCATATACAGACTGTACTGTACACACCCAGAGAACAGAGGGCGTGTGTGTGTGTATGCATGGGTAAATCAAATCAAATTGTATGTGTTTGTGTGTGTGTGCATACGTGTGGGTGAGTAACTAGGCACTAACTTGTGGCTCATAGCGGATGAGGAGGTCGTACTCCATGGAGTAGGGGATGTTGTTGATGGAGAACTCCAGGCTGCTGCCCTCTGGGACCTTGGCAAACCCAGCGCCAGTCCAGGTGGTAGGGCGCCCAGGCTGGTGCTCCCTCTGCGCCACACTGCAGACCTGGACACACACACACAAAAACATTAGCATTTTAGTCATTTAGCAGACGCTCTTATCCAAAACGACTTACAGTTAGTGCATTTATCTTAAGGTGGCTAGGTGAGACAACAACAAATCACAGTCATAGTAAGTCTTTTTTTTATATACAGTACCAGTCAAAGGTTTGGACACATCTACTCATTCAAGGGTTTTTCTTTATTTTTACTATTTTCTACATTGTAGAATAATAGTGAAGACATCAAAACTATAAAATAACACATATGGAATCATGTAGTAACCAAAAAACTGTTAAACAAATCTAAATATATTTTATAGTAGTAATATGTGCAGACCAAAAACCATAAAACGCTATGATGAAACTGGCTCTCATGAGGACCTTCACAGGAATGGAAGACCCAGAGTTACCTCTGCTGCAGAGGATAAGTTCATTAGAGTTACCAGCCTCAGAAATTACAGCCCAAATAAATGCTTCACAGAGTTCAAGTAACAGACACATCTCAACATCAACTGTTCAGAGGAGACTCTGTGAGTCAGGCCTTCATGGTCGAATTGCTGCAAAGAAACCACTATTAAAGGACACCAATAATAAGAAGAGACTTGCTTGGGCCAAGAAACATGAGCAATGGACATTAGACCGGTGGAAATGTGTCCTTTGGTCTTTATTTTTCAACAGGACAATGACCAAACACACCTCCAGGCTGTGTAAGGGCTATTTTACCAAGAAGGAGAGTGATGGAGTGCTGCATCAGATGACCTGGCCTCCACAATTCCCCGACCTCAACCCAATTGAGATGGTTTGGGATGAGTCGGACTGCAGTGTGAAGGAATAGCAGCCAACAAGTGCTCAGTATATGTGGGAACTCCTTCAAGACTGTTGGAAAAGCATTCCAGGTGAAGCTGGTTGAGAGAAGGCCAAGAGTGTGCAAAGATGTCATCATGGCAAAGGGTCGCTATTTGAAGAATCTCAAATATAACATATATTTTGATTTGTTTAACACTTTTTTTGGTTACTACATGATTCCATATGTGTTATTTCATATTTTTGATGTCTTCACTATTATTCTACAATGTAGAAAATAGTAAAAATAAAGAAAAAACCCTTGAATGAGTAGGTGTGTCCAAACTTTTGACTGGTACTGTGTATATAAAGCAGCTATCAGCAAAGTCAGTGCTAGTGTGAGTGTTAGTGCAAGAAAGGCAAGGATGTTCATTTCTTTCTTTTTTCACACCAAGTCAAACATAGACAGTGCAAAACAATGTAAACCAGGGTCCAGCCCAGTCTGTTCTGTCTGTAGGGAGCAGCAGTAGTTACCGGTCCCAGCAGGGCCAGCTCAGCCTCGTAGGTATAGTGGTCCAGAGCCATGAAAAAGTACCCAGACTCCACCTGGGTACATTGACGGCCCGTCATATGACTGCGACAGCGACACTGCCCGTTCTCCATTGAGCAGCTTGGGGAAGACAGATAATAAGTCTATTCAGTAATCCTGTAGTTGTTCAACGTGAATCAAAATTCATAGGTGGAGATATACATTAAGAGTCCATTTAGTTTTTTTATTTATTGTATGTGATGCAGAAACAGATCATTATGTCACTCACTGGTTATCTGTGGCCCCGCCCACATCACAGTCACAGTCTCTGCATCCATTGAGGTCGTGACTCGGTGCCCAGTGTTCTGGCTGTGGGCGGGAGGGAGACAGACAGACAGACAGACAGACAGACAGACAGCTGTTAGCCCTAGACAGACAGACAGACAGACAGCTATTAGCCCTAGACAGACTGCATTCCCACCTACCAACTGCATCAGCCAGGGTTCCTGGACCATACGTGTCAGCTGATGGGTTTGAATGTGAGTCATAGGTAACTACTCAGATATCACAACCAGGTGTTCCTAGCTCCAAAATGGCATCCTGTAAATACATGCTGCCTATCAAAATGACATACTGTAAATGCATCCTGTCTATAAAAAAATGGCGTACTGTAAATACATCCTGTCTATAAAAATGACTTACTGTAAATACATCCTGTCTATCAAAATGGCATACTGTATAAGTGCAGGCTGGTAGAGCTTAAGTTATGTGTGCAAAATAGTGGTTGTCTGTTCTTGACTCTAAAATAAGCCTTTATGCAGCTTCTGAGAATTCAGGATCCACTCTGTCAGGACCAATGACTGCTGGCCATTTTTGGCCTGTTGTAACCCACACCAACCGGAGAGGCCTGACATCCCTGGGCTAAATTTAGACATTCCTGGGTACTGTTACTGGCATGGCAAGGAAGTTAGGTAAGTGACAGGGGGATGCGAATCACTCAGCAACACCTATGAATTCAGGAGGGTGTATGTGTGAATGAAAGAGAGAGAAAGAGAGAAAGAGAGAGAGAGTCTAAGAATGGGAGATGTAGAGAAGCGAGAGTGCGAGTGTATCTGTGTGTGTTAAGGTTAGAAGAGGGAGGCTCTCCTGGACCCTTACCAGACACTGGCCACAGCTGCGTCCGGTGACCTGGCGCTTGCAGAAGCAGTCCCCGCTCACAGGATCACACTGTGGTCTCTCTGACACCGTACCCCTGGGGTCACACTGGCAGGCTGAGGGGGGAGAGCAGGAGTTATGGGGGGGGGGGGGGGGCAGGCTGATGGGGGGAGAGCAGGAGTTATGGGGGCACTGGGGAACATAAATATCTACAAAAATATGATACATAGGTTTATTCAAAGCACTGACAAAACCAAACCTTTTGAACAAAAGATTGCTCCAAAATCTCTAATATACAAGACCACATAAAATGAGGGTAATTTGTACAACAATAAGTCCAATTTGATAGACTGAATCATGCTATGCTCCTACTCCTCTGCACTCACGTTGGCAGCCACGGGGATTCTCTGCTCTCAGGCTGAAGAAGCCAGACTTGCATTTGTCACAGCGAGGTCCCTCCACGTGGTCCTTACAGTGGCACTGCCCAGCGACCATGCCCAGGGACGGCATGTCAAGCCCGTCACAGATGCCCTCGTTCAGGGAACCATGAGGATCACAGTCACAGGCTGGCAGAAGAAGACAACAGACATCCTGTTAACGCCAAACTTAAAGCTGGAATCTGTAGCGTTTGCGATATTACAACAACAAAGACGTTACTTCAAACGACCGACACTGTTTTTTTTCCCCCCTCTGACATCATTGCACATCATTGCACGCTTGATAGAACAGCAGAGTGCGTTCTACGATTTTTTTTTGCTGGATGCTCCTCTCCTCCTTTTATAAACAAAACAGAAACAATAACAAATGCGCCGGGGGCGTTTCACTTGCAGATCTCAGCTTTAATAACCATCACGGACACACGCATACACTAGTACGCACTACCTAGAAAACATGTAAACACAAATCCTCCTGGAAATAAAGTGATAGCAGGGTTTCAAAGGAGAAAATAACCTTCATATGTACATATCATCACTCATATACAGTCTGATCATGTAAGAAATACACACACAGTTCCTATGTCCCAGCCCTGAGAGGCGATCAGTCTCTGATGTGTTTTATTCCAGACCCCCTCTACTCACCAGTACAGACTCCTGGGTCTCTGATGTGTTTTATTCCAGACCCCCTCTACTCACCAGTACAGACTCCTGGGTCTCTGATGTGTTTTATTCCAGACCCCCTCTACTCACCAGTAAAGACTGCTGGGTCTCTGATGTGTTTTATTCCAGACCCCCTCTACTCACCAGTAAAGACTCCTGGGTCTCTGATGCGTTTTATTCCAGACCCCCTCTACTCACCAGTACAGACTCCTGGGTCTCTGATGTGTTTTATTCCAGACCCCCTCTACTCACCAGTACAGACTCCTGGGTCTCTGATGTGTTTTATTCCAGACCCCCTCTACTCACCAGTACAGACTCCTGGGTCTCTGATGTGTTTTATTCCAGACCCCTCTACACACCAGTATAGACTCCTGGATCTCTGATGTGTTTTTATTCCAGACCCCCTCTACTCACCAGTACAGACTCTGGATCTCTGATGTGTTTTATTCCAGACCCCTCTACTCACCAGTACAGACTCCTGGATCTCTGATGTGTTTTATTCCAGACCCCCTCTACTCACCAGTAAAGACTCCTGGGTCTCTGATGTGTTTTATTCCAGACCCCCTCTACTCACCAGTACAGACTCCTGGGTCTCTGATGTGTTTTATTCCAGACCCCCTCTACTCACCAGTACAGACTCCTGGGTCTCTGATGTGTTTTATTCCAGACCCCCTCTACTCACCCATAAAGACTGCTGGGTCTCTGATGTGTTTTATTCCAGACCCCCTCTACTCACCAGTACAGACTCCTGGATCTCGGATGTGTTTTATTCCAGACCCCCTCTACTCACCAGTAAAGACTCTTGGGTCTCTGATGTGTTTTATTCCAGACCCCCTCTACTCACCAGTACAGACTCCTGGGTCTCTGATGTGTTTTATTCCAGACCCCTCTACTCACCAGTATAGACTCCTGGATCTCTGATGTGTTTTATTCCAGACACCCTCTACTCACCAGTACAGACTCCTGGATCTCTGATGTGTTTTATTCCAGACCCCCTCTACTCACCAGTACAGACTCCTGGATCTCTGATGTGTTTTATTCCAGACCCCCTCTACTCACCAGTAAAGACTCCTGGGTCTCTGATGTGTTTTATTCCAGACCCCCTCTACTCACCAGTACAGACTCCTGGGTCTCTGATGTGTTTTATTCCAGACCCCCTCTACTCACCAGTACAGACTCCTGGATCTCTGATGTGTTTTATTCCAGACCCCCTCTACTCACCAGTACAGACTCCTGGATCTCTGATGTGTTTTATTCTAGACCCCCTCTACTCACCAGTACAGACTCCTGGGTCTCTGATGTGTTTTATTCCAGACCCCCTCTACTCACCAGTACAGACTCCTGGATCTCTGATGTGTTTTATTCCAGACCCCCTCTACTCACCAGTACAGACTCCTGGATCTCTGATGTGTTTTATTCCAGACCCCCTCTCCTCACCAGTACAGACTCCTGGGTCTCTGATGTGTTTTATTCCAGACCCCCTCTCCTCACCAGTACAGACTCCTGGGTCTCTGATGTGTTTTATTCCAGACCCCCTCTACTCACCAGTACATACTCCTGGGTCTCTGATGTGTTTTATTCCAGACCCCCTCTACTCACCAGTACAGACTCCTGGGTCTCTGATGTGTTTTATTCCAGACCCCCTCTACTCACCAGTACAGACTCCTGGGTCTCTGATGTGTTTTATTCCAGACCCCCTCTACTCACCAGTACAGACTCCTGGTTCTCTGATGTGTTTTATTCCAGACCCCCTCTCCTCACCAGTACAGACTCCTGGGTCTCTGATGTGTTTTATTCCAGACCCCCTCTACTCACCAGTACAGACTCCTGGGTCTCTGATGTGTTTTATTCCAGACCCCCTCTACTCACCAGTACAGACTCCTGGATCTCTGATGTGTTTTATTCCAGACCCCCTCTACTCACCAGTACAGACTCCTGGGTCTCTGATGTGTTTTATTCCAGACCCCCTCTCCTCACCAGTACAGACTCCTGGGTCTCTGATGTGTTTTATTCCAGACCCCCTCTACTCACCAGTACAGACTCCTGGGTCTCTGGTGTGTTTTATTCCAGACCCCCTCTACTCACCAGTACAGACTCCTGGGTCTCTGATGTGTTTTATTCCAGACCCCCTCTACTCACCAGTACAGACTCCTGGGTCTCTGATGTGTTTTATTCCAGACCCCCTCTACTCACCAGTACAGACTCCTGAGTCTCTGATGTGTTTTATTCCAGACCCCCTCTACTCACCAGTACAGACTCCTGGATCTCTGATGTGTTTTATTCCAGACCCCCTCTACTCACCAGTACAGACTCCTGGATCTCTGATGTGTTTTATTCCAGACCCCCTCTACTCACCAGTACAGACTCCTGGATCTCTGATGTGTTTTATTCCAGACCCCCTCTTCTCACCAGTACAGACTCCTGGGTCTCTGATGTGTTTTATTCCAGACCCCCTCTACTCACCAGTACAGACTCCTGGGTCTCTGATGTGTTTTATTCCAGACCCCCTCTACTCACCAGTATAGACTCCTGGGTCTCTGATGTGTTTTATTCCAGACCCCCTCTACTCACCAGTAAAGACTCCTGGGTCTCTGATGTGTTTTATTCCAGACCCCCTCTACTCACCAGTATAGACTCCTGGGTCTCTGATGTGTTTTATTCCAGACCCCCTCTACTCACCAGTACAGACTCCTGGGTCTCTGATGTGTTTTATTCCAGACCCCCTCTACTCACCAGTACAGACTCCTGGGTCTCTGATGTGTTTTATTCCAGACCCCCTCTACTCACCAGTACAGACTCCTGGGTCTCTGATGTGTTTTATTCCAGACCCCCTCTACTCACCAGTATAGACTCCTGGGTCTCTGATGTGTTTTATTCCAGACCCCCTCTACTCACCAGTACAGACTCCTGGATCTCTGATGTGTTTTATTCCAGACCCCCTCTACTCACCAGTACAGACTCCTGGATCTCTGATGTCCCTGCTGGGGTCCTGGTAGTAGAAGGGTTTACACATCTCACAGGTGCGTCCCATGGTGTTGTGGAGACAGTCGTCACAGACGCCACCGTTGGCATTGCCCGTGGACAGGTACACCGCCATGTCAAAGTGACACTGGTTGGAGTGTCCGTTACAGTTGCATTCTGGGAGAGTCAAAAGGACAGATATTAAAACATGAAATTAAGATTTGATTACAACCTCATTTTTGGGTTTTTTTACTGCTGCTGTGTGATGCATAACTGATGAGTTGGAGATGAATAAGAAATGTAATGTTTCTTGTTATGGTAATCAAGATTGGAGTCTCATTCCTTTGGTTATGACTTTTGACTGGTGTGCTCATAATAATAATCAGTGGTGTTGCAGATAAGAGATGTTTCTTCTTATGGTGTGCTCCACCACCACTCACTCTTGCAGGCGTTGGTGTTGCGTCCCTCAGCCGGTCTCCAGGGCATGTCGTTATGGAAGTCGTCACACAGCTCACAGTTCAGACCCTTGGTGTTGTGCTTACACACACACCTCCCATGGACCTGAGAGACAGAGATGCTGAATTAGTCCCCAGAGAATCCTAAACACACCCTCCCATGGACCTGAGAGACAGAGAGGCTGAATTAGTCCCCAGAGAATCCTAAACACACCCTCCCATTCTAACTCCCTCTGCATAGTTGCCTCTGTTTTCAGACAACAGCAAACTTTATAAGGTAGTTCTTCCTCCTTACAGCTAGGGGGCAGTGCTGTGTTCCTTCACTTACTCACCATGCCCTCCTCATCCTTGATCCCATCAATAGGGGCACACTCGGAGGCGTGGCCGTAGCAGAAGCAGTTGCCGCGGACAACCAGCTCATACATGGCATAGTAGTACTTCTCCTTGATCTCAGCGCGGGAGTCCAGCAGGTTGTCACCCAGGGTGTGCAGCTTGGTGAAGTTCACACGCAGGTTAGTGATCTTCAGCTGGTCTGCACGATGCAAGCAGAGGAGAAGAAGAGAGGAAGGGGGAAGGTGAGACAGACAGATTAGGAGATAGACAACAAGCTATATGAACATCCTAATTCCTATACTTCAAAGCCAAAGGAAAGGCTCCAGCTACACCATGTCACGCTCGTTGTAAGCAACGGACCAAGGCGGAGCGTGATATGCGTACATTCTTTATTTTCTAGTACACACGAACAAAACAACAAACCAAACGATACGTGAAGTCCAAGGTTAAACACCAAACAAACCTTACACGGAACAAGATCCCACAAATGACAAGTGCACAACAGGCTGCCTAAGTATGGTTCCCAATCAGAGACAACAAGACACAGCTGCCTCCGATTGGGAACCACCCCGGCCAACACAGAAACACACGATCTAGAAAAGAACACATAGAAAACAAAACATAGACACTACACATAGAAACTAACACCCTGGCTCAACATATAAGAGTCCCCAGAGCCAGGGCGTGACAGTACCCCCCAAAGGCGCGGACTGCGACCGCGCCAACTAAACCCAACAGGGGAGGGGCCGGGTGGGCATTCCGCCTCGGAGGCGGATCCGGCTCCGGGCGTGACCACCACTCTCTAACTACCCCCCCGTAGCGCCCCTGGTCTGGTCTGGCCCCGCTGGCTGGAGCTGGACTGGACATCGGTGGAGCGGATTGCTTAGGCTGCGGTGTGGAGCAGCTGACCGGTACCTGACCAGGCACTGGTGAAACAGGCACGGGCTGTGCCGGACTACAGGCTTGGTGCGGGGAGCAGGAACAGGCCGGACCAGGCTGGCGACGCGCACCACAGGCTTGGTGCGGGGAGCAGGGACGGGCCGGACCGGGCTGGCGACGCGCACCACTGGCTTGGTGCGGGGAACAGGAACGGGCCGGACCGGGCTGGCGACGCGCACCACTGGCTTGGTGCAGGGAGCAGGAACGGGCCGGACCGGGCTGACGACGCGCACCACTGGCTTGGTGCGGGGAGCAGGAACGGGCCGGAACGGGCTGACGACACGCACCACTAGCTTGGTGCGGGGAGCAGGAACAGGCCGGACCGGGCTGACGACGCGCACCACAGGCTTGGTGCGGGGAGCAGGAACAGGCCGGACCGGGCTGGCGACGCGCACCACAGGCTTGGTGCGAGGGGCAGGAACAGGCCGGACCGGGCTGGCGACGCGCATCACTGGCTTGGTGCGGGGAGCAGGAACAGGCCGGACCGGGCTAACGACGCGCACCACTGGCTTGGTGCGGGGAGCAGGAACAGGCCGGGCCGGGCTGGCGACGCGCACCACAGGCTTGGTGCGGGGAGCAGGAACAGGCCGGACCGGGCTGTGGAGACGGACTGGAGGTCTGGAGCGAAGAGCTGACACAACCCGTCCTGGCTGAATGTCTATTTTTACACACTCTGTGTGAGGCATCAGCACAGGACGTACAGGGCTGTGCACTCGTACTGGCACTACAGCACGTGGCACTGGCGCAGGATATCCGGGACCGAGGAGGGGTACTGGAGGCCACGATCGTTGAGCCGGCACACTCCGTCCTGGCTGCATGCCCACCTTCGCACGACACGTGCGTGGTGCTAGCACAGGACGTACAGGACTGTGCCGGACCACTCGCGGCACAGTACGCAGCTCCGCAAACCTCGGAACCTGCCCAGTCTCACGCTGCCTAGCCTGAGTACGGGGAGTTGGCTCTGCTCTACCTCTAGGCTTCGCCAACCTCCCTTCCAGCCCCCCAAACCCGGTGGCCTCCTCTCCTAATCCGCCGATACGCCCTGTAGCTGCCTCCAGCAGCCCCGTCGTCCAAGCCGTGTGCCCCCCCCAAAAAAATTATTGGGGTTGCCTCTTGCGTGTCCGACGTCGGCACGGTTGGCGCCGCTGCTCCTCTCTATGGCGCGCCTCCACAGTCTCTTCCCACAGACGGCGATCCATTCCGGCCTGGATTTCCTCCCAAGTCCAGGACCCCTTCCCGTCCAAAATCTCCTCCCAAGTCCAGGCTGTCTGCTCCTGGACACGCTGCTTGGTCCTTATTTGGTGGGATCTTCTGTCATGATCGTCGTAATAAGTGGACCAAGGCGCAGCGTGATATGCGTACATTCTTTATTTTCTAGTACACACGAACAAAACAACAAACCAAACGATACGTGAAGTCCAAGGTTAAACACCAAACAAACCTTACACGGAACAAGATCCCACAAATGACAAGTGCACAACAGGCTGCCTAAGTATGGTTCCCAATCAGAGACAACAAGACACAGCTGCCTCCGATTGGGAACCACCCCGGCCAACACAGAAACACAAGATCTAGAAAAGAACACATAGAAAACAAAACATAGACACTACACATAGAAACTAACACCCTGGCTCAACATATAAGAGTCCCCAGAGCCAGGGTGTGACACACCATCAATTACACCATGAAATATGACGGCCCTGAGAGTCAGTTTCCGACTGTTACAGACAGTGCATGGTTATCGATTTTTTTTTAAATAATGTTTTATTGTCACATACAGTACACTGGATAGGTACAGTGAAATGTGTTGTGTTACAGGGTTAGCCATAGTAGTACGGCGCCCCTGGAGCAAATTAGAGTTAAGTGCTTTGCTCAAGGGTACATCGACAGATTTTTCACGTTGTTCACCTTGCCTCTCTCTCCTTCTCTCTCCACTTCAACTTAGTGTTTAAACACAAACTAGATGGTCATTTCCCATGAATAAAAATGTGTGGGACTATATTAAGTCAAAGTTAAATTGAGTAAAATAATTGGTCTGATTACTTTGATAGACTACACTATCAACCTTCTTACTTACACATATTTCGTCACAAATAACTGCACTCAGACTAGCCTACTACACTTTTATACACTCTCCTACTAGAATACCACAGTAAACTGTAATAACAGAGTATTCTAAGCATGAGACAATGAGTAAACATTGTGACTTTTGATGCTAATCAGCTACCTTGACCACTTTTCTCAACAAAAACTTAAAGGGTATGGCACTTTGGTCTACTTCTCTGATATTCAAATCTGAAATCAGAACAGAAATAGCTACTACCAATTATTCCCCCACCCACCACAGACATACACACCAGCCACACCTTCAACCATACATTCATTCCTTTATCATACCAATCAGTCCAACTGAACCTTGTTTTATCCCTTTAGCCCTCCAGCCATTAGGTCTTCCATGCCTGTATCCTTCATTTATTTCTCTATCCTATTTATTTATCTACCCATTCATAACTTTCTTTTAACAGCTTTATCCTTTGGTATTGGTATTTTATTAGGATTTGATAAATAAATTAATGTACAGTATCTTGCAAAAGTATTCATCCCCCTTGGAGTTTTTCCTATTTTGTTGCATAACAACCTGTCATTTAAATGGATTTTTATTTGGATTTAATGTCATGGACATACACAAAATAGTCCAAATTGGTGAAGTGAAATGAAAAAAATAACTTGTTTCAAAAAATTCTAAAAAATAAATAACAGAAAAGTGGTGCGTGCATATGTATTCACCCCCTTTGCTATGAAGCCCCTAAATAAGATCTGGTGCAACCAATTACCTTCAGAAGTAACATAATTAGTAAAATAAAGTCCACCTGTGTGCAATCTAAGTGTCACATGATCTGTCACATGATCCCAGTATATATACACCTGTTCTGAAAGGCCCCAGAGTCTGCAACACCACTAAGCAAGGGGCACCACCAAGCAAGCGGCACCATGAAGACCAAGGAGCTCTCCAAACAGGTCAGGGACAAAGTTGTGGAGAAGTACAGATAAATAAATATCTGAAACTTTGAACATCCCACGGAGCACCATTAAATCCATTATTAAACAATTGAAAGAATATGGCACTACAACAAACCTGCCAAGAGAGGGCCGCCCACCAAAACTCACGGACCAGGCAAGGAGGGTATTAATCAGAGAGGCAACAAAGAGACCAAAGATAACCCTGAAGGAGCTGCAAAGCTCCACAGCAGAGATTGGAGTATCTGTCCATAGGACCACTTTAAGCCGTACACTCCACAGAGCTGGGCTTTACGGAAGAGTGGCCAGAAAAACCCATTGCTTAAATAAAAAAATAAGCAAACACGTTTGCTGTTCGCCAAAAGCCATGTGGGAGACTCCCCAAACATATGGAAGGTACTCTGGTCAGATGAGACTAAAATTGAGCTTTCTGGCCATCAAGGAAAACTGGCGCAAACCCAACACCCTCTCATCACCCCGAGAACACTGTATGGTTGAAGTAAGCTGTAAACGCTTGGGATAAAATAATGTTTTTTAATTTATTTTAAACTTCACCAATGTTTACTCATTGTCTCATGCTTAGAATGTGCACCTCCATTGTTATAATTTGAAAGTTCTGAAAAGTTCCATGGCAGTTAAGTGGGAAGTTAGCTAAATTAGTTTATGTGGTTACTAAAACAGCTGTACCTCTTGATTGGTAGTAGATATTTCTGTTCTTATTTCCAGATTTTAATCAGCACAGAAGTAGACCAAGATGTCACACCCTCTAAGTTTTTGTCTAAAGTGCTGGGAAAGTGGTCAAAACGGCAGTTGTTTGAAAAACTTAAGGCGAAAAGTTGTTGATGCGGTTAATTAAACAGCTGTATCGTTAGATACAAGATATTTCTGGTCAGATTCCAGATTAGAATAGCAGAGAAGTAAACGAAGATGTCATACCCTTTACATTTTTGTCTAACTTGTTCGGAAAGTGGTCAAAATAACTGATTTGTGTGAAAGTTGCATTGTTGCATTTGCAGTGAATGGAAGTTGGAAGGGATGATGTCACAATGGGGAGCTTTAGAATGTTGAAATAAGTCACATTAAAGTGAATGAAGATGGACAAAAATACAAAGAAATCTATAGTTTAAAAAGTATAAATAATATCAGAAAGTTGTATGCAAGCACACTATTCCAGACCAGTCTACACATTTTAAAGTTTGAATGGCATGTCTAGCTTAAACGGTGTAAGAGGAGTGGCGTGCAGAAGAAGAAGTATGACTATTTAAAGTCAGGGCTTTTGATTTGCAAGTCCCACCTAACAAATGGAGAATTATTCACACCTCTAAGCTAAAAAGCTGTGTTTTGGGGCGGCTACCCTTCACTGTACTCTTACGAAACACTTATTAGCATTCTTTGTGTGGTTACTTCCATTACCTCCCTCTATTTGACTCACATACAGTTCATGAGTAACTGTTTCATTAACTAAAGTTAAAGAAGAACAGCGAGAGAGAGAGAGATTAGTGTAGAGTTACTCTGTTACATTCAACTACACTGAAAATGAGTCAGAGCGGAGAGGGGCAAGCTCAAATCCAGTGCTCCTGGCCTATCTGAGCGTATCCTTTCTCACACACAGAAGAGGCCTGTTCTCTGGACCTTGACAGGCAAAACACCACTCCCTTAAATCAGTTCCACTGTTCCACAGGACTTTGGGGAATATCAGGCTTTTGCCAGGACCACAATAAGCCATGTCCAACTCTTATGAGTATCAGTGAGGCCACTGCTAATGTCATTTAATTGTTATTATTAACATACTAATGTACCTTCTGCCCATAGCTCCCCCAACTTCCCGAATAGGATTACCTCTATCCTCTTTAAGTTATCTTGCTGTGGAGGATATCTCCATGGGAAAGTGCTCAAACTAAACCATACTAAACCATAGGCATTCTGTAACTGTATACCCATCCTGACAGGCAGGCTTCATATCGCCCTCCTCTAAGACATCCTCCCTCCGTGTTGATATTCTGTGGCACGCTAGCAGATTCCACCGTCTCCATTACAGCAGGAACACATCAGGTTTCAACACTTTAAAATCACTGAACACCCTCAAAATGTGTGTCTCCCTCTCTCTGTCAAACTGGAGCTAAAGCCTATATCGCCTGAGCGTTACCATAAGATGTACCAGAAGGGAGAGCTAATGAGTGACAAACACAAGTTCCCTTAAACAAGTGGAGATGATTAATGATCTTGGCAGTGTGCTAGCTACTCATTCAGAGTGTGTCTGTCAGGACAACATATCCAGTTAAAGGGTCAGGGTCAACCTGTACCTTGGTTTTGTTAAGACTCTTAAGAACCTCCCCCTGTCACTACTTAGGAAAGGCTGCTCTTTTTCCTGGGAAAACAGTGAAGAGTTACTGTTTCCTTAACTAAAGTTAAAGAAGAGAGAGAGAGAGGAGAGAGAGAGAGAGGATGGAGAGAGAGGAGAGAAAGGGGGAGAGAGGAATAGAGAGGAGAGAGAGAGAGGAGAGGAGAGAGAGAGAGAGAGAGAGAGAGAGAGAGAGAGAGAGAGAGAGAGAGATTAGTGTACAGTTACTCTGTTACATTGAACTACTTAGGAAAGGTTGCTCTTGTTCCTGGGAAAACCGTGAAGCCATGCCAGTCAAAACATAAGGGACAGCTTGTGTGGGGTAGAGAGAGCAGCTGGTTTTTACATCCCGCCACTTCCCCATAGTAGACAAGGCGTCAGACCCCAGAGCAGAGAGCAGAGCAGCCTGTCACGGGACATTATTTTAAGGGGTTGTATGAGCATGGCTGATTGACGTCAGTATATGGCAGGGTGGCAGTTGCTGTATCATGTAGGCCAGGGCTCTCCAACCATGTTCCTGGAGAGCTACCCTCCTGTAGGTTCACACTAACCCTGTACCTGGAGAGCTACCCTCCTGTAGGTTAACACTAACCCTGTTCCTGGAGAGCTACCCTCCTGTAGAGTTCACTCCAACCATGTTCCTGGAGAGCTACCCTCCTGTAGGTTCACACTAACCCTGTTCCTGGAGAGCTACCCTCCTGTAGGTTCACACTAACCCTGTTCCTGGAGAGCTACCCTCCTGTAGGTTCACACTAACCCTGTTCCTGGAGAGTTACCCTCCTGTAGGTTCACACTAACCCTGTTCCTGGAGAGTTACCCTCCTGTAGGTTCACACTAACCCTGTTCCTGGAGAGCCACCCTCCTGTAGGTTCACACCAGGGCTCTCCAACCCTGTTCCTGGAGAGTTACCCTCCTGTAGGTTCACACCAACCCTGTTCCTGGAGAGCTACCCTCCTGTAGGTTAACACCAACCCTGTTCCTGGAGAGCTACCCTCCTGTAGGTTCACACCAGGGTTCTCCAACCATGTTTCTGGAGAGCTACCCTCCTGTAGGTTTTCACTCCAACCCTGTTCCTGGAGAGTACCCTCCTGTAGGTTCACACCAACCCTGTTCCTGGAGAGCTACCCTCCCGTAGGTTCACACCAGGGCTCTCCAACCCTGTTCCTGGAGATCTACCCTCCTGTAGGTTCACACCAGGGTTCTCCAACCATGTTTCTGGAGAGCTACCCTCCTGTAGGTTTTCACTCCAACCCTGTTCCTGGAGAGCTACCCTCCCGTAGGTTCACACCAGGGCTCTCCAACCCTGTTCCTGGAGAGCTACCCTCCTGTAGGTTTTCACTCCAACCCTGTTCCTGGAGAGCTACCCTCCCGTAGGTTCACACCAGGGCTCTCCAACCCTGTTCCTGGAGAGCTACCCTCCTGTAGGTTTTCACTCCAACCCTGTTCCTGGAGAGGTACCCTCCTGTAGGTTCACACCAACCCTGTTCCTGGAGAGCTACCCTCCTGTAGGTTTACACCAGGGCTCTCCAACCCTGTTCCTGGAGAGCTACACTCCTGTAGGTTTTCAGTCCAACCCCAGTTGTAACTAACCTGATTCAGCTTATCAACCAGCTAATTATTAGAATCAGGTGCGGTAGGGTTGGAGTGAAAACCTACAGGAAGGTAGCTCCATGAACAGCGTTGGACAGCCCTGATGTCGGCTGTGTGAGTTTGGCTAAACATGGGGTAAGTGGTTGGCAGTTGTGGTGACTGCTGACGTTCTCTTACTCTGAATGTTGGGGCTGTAGGGGTCCTCAATGCGGATGGCAGGGTCCAGAACTCTGTAGATCGCCTGGAGGAAGAGGAGGAACAGGACAGGTGGTTGAATGACATCTACATTTATGGATATATGAATATATGCTGTAAGTCCTGTAAGGCTCAGTTGGTAGAGAATGGCGCTTGCAAGGCCAGGATTGTGGGTTCGATTCCCGGGGCCACCCATATGCATGACTATAAGTCGCTTTGAATAAAAGCATCTGCTAATTATATTAATTATTATGTAATAGTAATAGTGATTTATCTCTAGCCAATCAGACTCACCTCTCCCTCTGTGGATGGCTCGATGTCAGAGTAGCGGGACTCACAGGTGACATCATCCACCTTGCGCAGGGGACCTTTGGATATCCCGGGGAAGACCGAGGCACAGTCGTAGGCAAAGTAGCGGTACACCTGCCAGTTACGTCCAAAATCTGCCGATCGCTCAATCACCATGGCTGCTGGGCGAAACGTCTGTGTGACAGTAGAGGGATGGGGTGAGATGTATGTAGACACGTTTGAAGACACAGGGCATTTCAATATGATGCATACGTTTAACACACTGCCTAAGGGTTACTAATTGCTCTGTGACATGTCTAACCTTAAAGGTCATGATAAGATGAGTGAAATGGAATTCTGCCTCAAGGTCCAGCTGAATGAAGACATTAGGCTTTCCTGAATACAAAATGAGAGAGAGAGAGAGAGAGAGAGACAGAGAGAGAGAGAGAGAGAGAGAGAGAGAGAGAGAGAGACGAGAGAGGTTATTTCAAGCTTTATGCTGTTGCTATTCAATACATTGAATTCATTCAACCTGTCATTCATCCTGTCAATCTGTCTGTTCCAGGAAATGTAGACCCATGTTTTCACCACAGTGATAACTCAAACTACCAGTCTTGAGGGAACCCCCTGTCTGTCTCTTGGCTTGAGTAATGGCATCTGAACAGGAAAAAGCATTCACGTCTCCTATGGTCTACCACATGGCGTAAGCCCACACACTTCCTGAGCACCATCCATCCTGGAGAACCACTTGAGTTGGGCTGCTATTCACAATGCATTGGGAGAGAAGGAGTCTTGAGTTCCAGTACTGGAGGGGGTTCTGCCTTATGCCAAGAGGGTATTCCCCTTCTAGCAGCTGGGACACTTCCCTGCTACAGCACAGTAAATAACATAATAACCAGAGCAAAAAGTCCCCTTGCAAATTTCTAACAGCTAATTTGTCGACATGCCACAACGTAGCTCAAAGGGAATCCTCTGAGAACACCCTAAACACATAAAGCTAAGTGCTTCGAGGAGCTTCTTTCTGATATTCAAATGCAGTCTGAAGTGAGTACAAACAGCAGTAAGACAACGATCAAATCCATAACTCGACGCATTAAAAAATGAGCAAGGTAATGAGAGAAGTACAGCTTCATGGGTGGCACCTCAACATTTAACATCACTAACTAGCTACCCCTCAGGCAGGCAGGCAGGCTGTGGTGTGGTGTGGTGTAGTGTGGTGGTGTAGTGTAGTGGTGTAGTCTAGTAGTGTAGTGGTGTATAGTGGTGTAGTGTAGTGGTGTAGTGTAGTGTGGTGGTGTAGTGTAGTGGTGTAGTGTGGTGGTGTATGGTGGTGGTGTAAGTGGGGTGTAGGTAGTGAGGGTAGTGTAGTGGTGTGTGGGAGGCGGTGGTGGTGTAGTGTGGTGGTGTAGTGTAGTCGTGCGGTGTGTGTAGGTGGGGTGTAGTTTAGTGTTGGTGTAGTGTAGGGTAGTGTCGTGGTGTAGTGTTAGGGTTGAGTGGTGTGTGGTGTAGTGTGGGGTGTAGTGTGGTGGGTGTAGTGTGGTAGGTTGTAGTGTAGGTAGGTGTGTAGTGTAGTGTAGTGTAGTGTGGTGTAGTATAGTGGATGAGTGTGGTGTAGTGTGGTGTAGTGTGGTGTAGTGTAGTGTAGTGTAGTGTAGTGTAGTATAGTGGATGAGTGTAGTGTGGTGTAGTGTAGTGTAGTGTGGTGTGTTGTAGTGTTGTGTAGTGGAGGGGTAGTGTTAGTGTAGTGTAGTATAGTGTTGTGTAGTGGGGGTAGTATAGTGGATGAGTGTGGTGTAGTGTGGTGTAGTGTAGTGTAGTGTGGTGTGGTGTAGTGTTGTGTAGTGGATGAGTGTAGTGTAGTGTAGTGTAGTGTAGTATAGTGTTGTGTAGTGTGGTGTAGTATAGTGGATGAGTGTGGTGTAGTGTGGTGTAGTGTGGTGTAGTGTAGTGTAGTGTAGTGTAGTGTAGTGTAGTGTAGTGTAGTGTAGTGTAGTGTGGTGTAGTATAGTGGATGAGTGTGGTGTAGTGTTTTTAAAAGTGTATAGTGTAGTGTAGTGTAGTGTAGTGTAGTGTAGTGTAGTGTAGTGTGGTGTAGTGTAGTGTAGTGTGGTGTGGTGTAGTGTTGTGTAGTGGATGAGTGTAGTGTAGTGTAGTGTAGTGTAGTGTAGTGTGGTGTGGTGTAGTATAGTGATGAGGTGTGTAGTGTAGTGTAGTGTAGTGTAGTATAGTGGATGAGTGTAGTGTGGTGTAGTGTAGTGTAGTGTGGTGTAGTGTTGTGTAGTGGATGAGTGTAGTGTAGTGTAGTGTAGTGTAGTATAGTGTTGTGTAGTGTGGTGTAGTGTTGTGTAGTGTGGTGTAGTGTAGTGTAGTGTAGTGTAGTGTAGTGTAGTGTAGGTGTAGTGTAGTGTAGTGTAGTGTAGTGTAGTGTAGTGTGGTGTGGTGTAGTGTTGTGTAGTGGATGAGTGTAGTGTAGTGTAGTGTAGTATAGTGTTGTGTAGTGTGGTGTAGTGTAGTGTAGTGTAGTGTAGTGTAGTGTTGTGTAGTGTAGTGTAGTGTAGTGTAGTGTAGGGTAGTATAGTGTTGTGTAGTGTGGTGTAGTGAGACAGAACTGTGAAAAAAGCAAAGAAATCCCGGAATTAAAACAGAGAGGGTCTCAGGAATCTTTTGGAACACCCTGACACACACATATATACACACAGAGAATGGATCTAGGCGGTTGGGGTTGTGAGTCTGTGCTATAGGCTGTGAACCATAACCTGCACTCATTAATGAATGGCTAATCAGGAAGGAAACGGAGAGTGCGAGACAGGAGAGGAAGGGTGGTTGGGTGATCGAGACAAGGAGTCAGGGTGAAGGAGAGGGAGAGAAAGAGAGGAGAAGGAGAGGGAAGAGAGACGATCGAGAGGGAAGAGGAGTGAGAGAGATGCGATGAGGAGAGAGAGGGGACGACGAGAGAGAGAGAGAGAGAGAGAGAGAGAGAGAGAGAGAGGAGAGGAGAGAGAGAGAGAACGGGAGAGAAGAGAGAGAGAAGAGAGAGAGAGAGAGAGAGAAGAGGAGAGAAGGGGAAGAGGAGAGAGAGAGAGAGAGAGGAGAGAGACCTAGGTAGCCAGGAGGAGAAAAATGAGCAAACATAAGGGAAGGGAAGAAAAGAGAGAAAGAGCTGCAGAATGGGAGAGGGAACACAACGAATAGTGCTATGTTTTTTTTCTCCATCACCGCTGTTGTGAGGCTTGTCTAATAGAGAGCAATTAGTAACTGGTACACTCCACCAACGGAAACAACCCACTGGCACATCCTTCTAATAGCCTACCGATACTTGGTACCTGTCCTGAAGTGACAAACATAGTAGAAGTGGGCCAGGCTGCTCTCCAGAACAGCAGTACCGACCCAACCCAGCCTTCCACTCCAATCCCTTCGTAAAGGAAAGGGCCTCATGAGAGAGACACAGGGACTGTGGTCAACACTCGTATAGTACAAGCATCCCACTCTGCTCCATCTCACATACTCTAAAGTCCTGCCAGATACACCATGCAGACCGAGAGTAAAAAATAGTGACTGTTTCCTGTCTCTCAGTGTTCTACGTAGAGTACAGTCAGTGCTATAGTGGTCCACAGTAGTCAATCACTCAGACATAGACCTGAAATTGTTTTACAGCCCTCTAACCAATTGTACTATTATGTGTGTTTTTCCGCGTTATTTGTAATTTATTTTGTACATAATGTTTATGCCATCGTCTCTTATAACCAAAGAGAGCTTCTGGATATCAGGACAGCGATTACTCACCTCGCGTTGGACGAACACTTTTTTTTCAACGAGGCGTTCGCGAAGGATATTCTACAGACTCCAGACAAGGCCCAGATCCCCGTCATTCGCGTGAGGAAGAGACGGAGATACCGTGGACGTAGGTCGGGGTGCCTTGTAAAGATCCGACGGCGAACGAGTAAACTGCCTCTCCCATCAATCCTATTAGCCAACGTTCAAGCTTTGGATAATAAAATGGACGATTTAAGATTACGGTTATCCTACCAACGGGACATTAAAAACTGTAATATCTTATGTTTCACGGAGTCGTGGCTGAATGACAACAATGACAACATTCAGCTAGCAGGCTATACGCTACATCGGCAGGACAGAACGGCAGACTCGGGTAAGACGAGGGGTGGCGGTCTCTGTATTTTTGTAAACAACAGCTGGTGCACAAAATCAAATACTAAGGAAGTCTCAAGGTTTTGCTCGCCTGAGGTAGAGTATCTTATGATAAGCTGTAGACCACACTATTTACCAAGAGAGTTTTCATCTATACTTTTCATAGCTGTCTATTTACCACCACAAACCAATGCTGGCATTAAGATTGCACTGAATGAGTTGTACAAGGCCATTAATCAACAGGAAAACGCTCATCCAGATGCAGCGCTCCTAGTAGCAGGGGACTTTAATGCAGGGAAACTTAAATCCGTTCTACCTCATTTCTACCAGCATGTTAAATGTGCAACCAGAGGGGAAAAAACTCTAGACCACCTTTACTCCACACACAGAGACGCATACAAAGCTCTCCCTCGCCCTCCATTTGGCAAATCTGACCATAACTCTATCCTCCTGATTCCTGCTTATAAGCAAAAACTGAAGCAGGAAGCACCAGTGACTCGGCTAATAAAAAAGTGGTCAGATGACGCAGATGCTAAGCTACAGGACTGTTTTGCTAGCACAGACTGGAACATGTTCAGGGATTCTTCAGACAGCATTGAGGAGTACACCACATCAGTCACTGGCTTCATCAATAAGTGCATCGATGATGTCGTCCCCACAGTGACCGTACGTACATACCCCAACCAGAAGCCATGGATTACAGGAAACATCCGCACTGAGCTAAAGGGTAGAGCTGCCGCTTTCAAGGAACGGGACTCTAACCCGGACGCTTATAAGAAATCCCGCTATGACCTCCGACGAACCATCAAACAGGCAAAGAGTCAATACAGGTCTAAGATTGAATCATACTACACTGGCTCTGACGCTCGTCGGATGTGGCAGGGCTTGAAAACTATTACAGACTACAAAGGGAAGCACAGCCGCGAGCTGCCCAGTGACACAAGCCTACCAGACGAGCTAAACCACTTCTATGCTCGCTTCGAGGCAAGCAACACTGAAGCATGCATGAGAGCACCAGCTGTTCCGGACGACTATGTGATCACGCTCTCCGTAGCCGATGTGAGTAAGACTTTTAAGCAGGTCAACATTCACAAGGCCGCAGGGCCAGACGGATTACCAGGACGTGTACTCCGAGCATGTGCTGACCAACTGGCAAGTGTCTTCACTGACATTTTCAACATGTCCCTGACTGAGTCTGTAATACCAACATGTTTCAAGCAGACCACCATAGTCCCCGTGCCCAAGAACTCTAAGATAACCTGCCTAAATGACTACCGACCCGTGGCACTGACGTCTGTAGCCATGAAGTGCTTTGAAAGACTGGTCATGGCTCACATCAACAGCATAATCCCAGAAACCCTAGACCCACTCCAATTTGCATACCGCCCCAACAGATCCACAGATGATGCAATCTCTATCGCACTCCACACTGCCCTTTCCCACCTGGACAAGAGGAACACCTACGTGAGAATGCTATTCATTGACTACAGCTCAGCATTCAACACCATAGTGCCCTCAAAGCTCATCACTAAGCTAAGGATCCTGGGACTAAACACCTCCCTCTGCAACTGGATCCTGGACTTCCTGACGGGCCGCCCCCAGGTGGTAAGGGTAGGTAACAACACATCTGCCACACTGATCCTCAACACGGGGGCCCCTCAGGGGTGCGTGCTCAGTCCCCTCCTGTACTCTCTGTTCACCCATGACTGCATGGCCAGGCACGACTCCAACACCATCATTAAGTTTGCCGACGACACAACAGTGGTAGGCCTGATCACCGACAACGATGAGACAGCCTATAGGGAGGAGGTCAGAGATCTGGCCGTGTGGTGCCAGGACAACAACCTCTCCCTCAACGTGACCAAGACAAAGGAGATGATTGTGGACTACAGGAAAAAAAAGAGGACTGAGCACGCCCCCATTCTCATCGACGGGGGCTGTAGTGGAACAGGTTGAGAGCTTCAAGTTCCTTGGTGTCCACATCACCAACGAACTATCATGGTCCAAACACACCAAGACAGTCGTGAAGAGGGCACGACAAAGCCTATTCCCCCTCAGGAGACTAAAAAGATTTGGCATGGGTCCTCAGATCCTCAAAAAATTCTACAGCTGCACCATCGAGAGCATCCTGACTGGTTGCATCACCGCCTGGTATGGCAACTGCTTGGCCTCTGACCGCAAGGCACTACAGAGGGTAGTGCGTACGGCCCAGTACATCACTGGGGCAAAGCTCCCTGCCATCCAGGACCTCTATACCAGGCGGTGTCAGAGGAAGGCCCTCAAAATTGTCAAAGACTCCAGTCACCCTAGTCATAGACTGTTCTCTCTGCTACCGCACGGCAAGCGGTACCGGAGTGCCAAGTCTAGGTCCAAAAGACTTCTCAACAGCTTCTACCCCCAAGCCATAAGACTCCTGAACAGCTAATCATGGCTACCCGGACTATTTGCACTGCCCCCCCCACCCCATCCTTTTTACGCTGCTGCTACTCTGTTAAGTATTTATGCATAGTCACTTTAACTCTACCCACATGTACATATTACCTCAACTAGCCGGTGCCCCCGCACATTGACTATGCAACGGTACCCCCCTGTATATATAGCCTCCCTACTGTCACTTTATTCTATTGTATATATAGCCTCCCTACTGTCACTTTATTTTTTACTTCTGCTCTTTTTTTTTTCTCAACACTTTTTTGTTGTTGTTTTATTCTTACTTTTTTGTTTAAAATAAATGCACTGTTGGTTAAGGGCTGTAAGTAAGCATTTCACTGTAATGTCTGCACCTGTTGTATTCGGCGCATGTGACCAATAAAATTTGATTTGATTTGATTTGATTTGATTTGAAATTGTACTTTTGTCTGCAGTATGTGTATTAACAATGAAGAAGGAGAACTGCTGAGCTTTTCTCTAAATCTCATCTTCCTTCCTTCCCTCAGTGTACCCCCTCTCACTCTTTCTCTCCAGATCCCACTCTTCATCTGACTCCCTCCCTCCCTCCCTCCCCGCCCTCCTCTCCTCTCTTCTCTTTCGTGTTCCTGTCTTTGTTGGAGTTCCAAGCTAGGGTTCAGCCGGGTCTGTTATTATCCCCAATTCCCATAGACACAGCTGTGGGCCTGTGGCTGCTGGCTGGTCCATGCAGAGTATACTACCGTACAGAGAGATTCTGATGGAGGGTGATTTAGTGTAATGGAGTCTGTGGACCTCTGGGCGTTGAAGGTCCTCCTGAACCATAGAAATATAATTAATTAATAATGGATTAAATTTAAAATTTCATGGGGTCCAGAACAGAGCAACCCCAAAAAATAAATGGTGAGGGAATAAATTTTGTTAAAGGATTTTTCCCCCTTTTTATTTTAAAAATTTTGAAAAAACCCCAAAAAAAAAATAAGCAAAAAAAAAAAAAAAAAAAATACAAAAAAGCCCCAAAAAACCAACAAAGACACAAAGGGGACAAAAGAAAAAAAAAAAACCCCCCACAAACCGGGAAAAAACCAACGGGTAAGAAAAAAAAACCCAAAAAAAAAAACCCAGTTTTCCCCACAAAATTTAGAGGAAAAAATTGAAAAAAAAGGGGAAGAAAACGGGGAAACCCAAAAGAAAAACCTAAGAAACAAAAGGCCGAAAAAAAATTTTCCCCAAAAAACCCCCCCCCCAAATTTTGGGCCAAAATTCCCAAACCCCCAAAAAAGCTCCCCCCTTTCTCCCTCCCCCTCTCCCATTTATATCCCTCCGCCCTTCCCCCCCTTTTCTCCCATATCTCCCTCCCTCTCTCCTCCTCTCCCTCCCTCTCTCCCATTTCTCACTACGTCTCTCTTTTCTTGCTTCCCTCATCATTCCTCCCACTCCCCCTCTCTTTCTCGGCCTTTGAGCAGACCTGTTATTAATAGTGGTAACCAAGATTAGGCCTCTAATAATATGGCTTCTGCATGAGTTCATAGCACAGGCAGCTGCATGTGGGGGCATATCATGTTACCAAAGGCAGAGGGCAAAGATAATTGAGCACAAATCTTTTTTATTTAACACTGCTTCCCATAAGGTCCACGGTTCACTATACTTTCTCAAAAGCTGCAACATGATGAATTATTTTCTGTACAATGTTCAATTGCTGTATATACATTTAAAGGGATTATCCAGTACTTCTGTATCCTTTTTAGCCAGTAGTTCTGAAAGTAGCGCTCACAAGCCAAAATTGGTCTCTGAAAATTGCGTACTACGTCACATAATGCACCAAGTCATTGCTCTCTCTTTCTCTCGCTCTGCTCTGTGTGCATCTTGCTCGCTGTCACTCCAATGGCAAGGGGCTGAAGCTCATTGGCTGGAACTCCAATTGTTATGGGGCTGGCCCACGTGGGGAAAATGTAGGGAAAATGTCGCAGCACAGCTTCCAGTAAATAGTTGCTTTCAAACAAGGGATTTCGTGACTACTTGAGGTAAAACAGTAATTCTGCTCATAGATTATACATGTATGAACTACACATTGACACATCCAACCCAAAGCATCGAGACTCAGACAAACAGACTCCTAAACAGCTTCAATCCCCTGGCCATAAGACTGTTAAATGGCTAACAAATACTGCTCTCCCTCTCCCACAGACTGTCCACACTAACTCTATGCCCCTCTCAACCCACTCAGACACAACCTACGCTGCTGCTAAAATTATTATTGATTAGATGTATTACTCCATTAAGCTGCTTTCCATTGCTTATTGATATATCTCTCCTGTTACTGGTCACTATTACTCCTGTTTATATGTATATATTACCATTAGTATATTACCATAATTATTTATATATTCCTGCTACCAGTCACTTTTCAGCCCTATTTAAATGTATATCCTACTACCAGTCACTTTTTACAGATGTAGGATCTTAATTTGAGCCAGTTTGCTACAGCAGGAAAATAATCCTGCATCAACAGGAAATGTGAATTATTATGTGGATTATAATTAATGGACATTTTTGTAGGGGTTGATACATTCTTCGTTAGGACAAATTAAGTCTGACATTTCAAAGGGGAAATTACAAACTTTTGAAGCCTTTTTGAAACTCAAATACACTAGAACTTTGCATTTCCTGCTTTTATCAAATTATCTGTATGTATAAACCCACCTCAACCACTCCAGTACCCCTGCACATTGAATGAGGTACTGGCACTGACCTGTACATACAACCACTCCAGTACCCCTGCACATTGAATAAGGTACTGACACTGACCTGTATATAGAACCACTCCAGTACCCCTGCACATTGAATAAGGTACTGACACTGACCTGTATATACAACAACCACTCCAGTACCCCTGCACTTTGAATAAGGTACTGACACTGACCTGTACATACAACCACTCCAGTACCCCTGCACATTGAATAAGGTACTGATACTGACCTGTATATACAACAACCACTCCAGTACCCCTGCACATTGAATAAGGTACTGATACTGACCTGTATATACAACCACTCCAGTACCCCTGCACGTTGAATAAGGTACTGATACTGACCTGTACATACAACCACTCCAGTACCCCTGCACATTGAATAAGGTACTGATACTGACCTGTATATTCAACCACTCCAGTACCCCTGCACATTGAATAAGGTACTGACACTGACCTGTATATACAACAACCACTCCAGTACCCCTGCACATTGAATAAGGTACTGACACTGACCTGTATATACTTGCATTCTCGTGTTTAATTTAACTTTCATCGTAGTTCTTGTTTGGTTTTTATTTGTACTTTTATTTGTTTATTCTATTTTCTATTATTATCTATATTATTAATATCACTGCATTGTTGGGAAAGAGCTCTCAAGGTAAGAATTTCACTGTACTGTTTTACACCTGTTGTATCCTGTGCACGTGGCGAATACACTTTGAAACTTGAAGTTTCAACTTTACTAGTCGCCAAAGTTCTGGAGCATGTCTTTAAACATGGATGGGAGTGCAACCCCAATGAATGCAATCTCAATTCTCACCATTCTCTGACTGCCACCAGGACTTCTTGCGGTGTGGTTTGAAGGTTGTGATGACGTTCTCAATGCGGTGACTGATGGTGTTGTAGACAGGGTCATATGGTCGGCGAGAGTCACACTGGAAACATTTCTTCTCATCCTACAGGGGTCAGAGGTGACACAGGTCAGGGGTCAAACAGAAGCTCGGGACAGAGGGAGGTGAGATGGTAGGTGAGAGGATGTTGGACACACACACACACACACAGATAAACATCACTTGCCTGTAGATGACTGACAATACAGTAAGGCTCTTTCTTCCTGGAGCCACAGGTAGACGAGGCCTTCAGGCTCTTCTCACGGCCCACCAACAGATCTCCCGTTGCGGGGTAACAGCTGCCATGGGTACAGCCGTGGGCGTGGTCTGGCCCCTGGGCGGTGGCATAGGCCAGGGCTGGAGAATAAAGAAGAGGGAGAGGAGGTTAACAAAGGACAGGAAATGACATCAAAGCTGGGAGTTATAGCAGAGAGTCACTTAGAGTGAATGAATAAAGTTTAGAGTTTAGCTAGATATCTCTCCATCTCTCTCTCTCTTTCATGTCTGGCAAGACATTAGAGGACCATATGAACTCTAATCAGTACAGGAAAAGGAAGTCAAAAGAGGAAGTGGGCCTATGTTTAATCCAGAAACCAAAACAGAGCCCAACTGAAGTCGCTGCTACTTACCAGGAGTAACAATGTTGAAAAAACGCATAGATTATATTTTGGTAGTGATGAGCGATTAACCGAAAGTTTGTTCTTTTTCAGTTTTTAAACAACTAATTGACCGACGTCCTTCAATTATTTGAATTCCATTTAGTTCTGTTTTTTCTTCTTCTGTGAACGCAATGCACAGTTTCTCTAGAGATAAATCAGATCAAGCACGAATGGTGTGATGTATCAGGGTGTTATAGATTCTAATAGGCCTATATTCTACATAGTTTACCGACCATAATCATAATCCATTGCGCGCCTACTTGTCCGGTCTGAGACTGAGAGAAGAGACAGAAAAACACGCGATCGAGAGGGAAAGAGAGTAGCTGCTTCGTGAGGTATCTCTACCTGAAAATACATGATCTAAGATTGATAGTTGATATTGAGCAGTCAATAAAAGTATGCCATATTTACTACGAAGAACTACTAAAATAGTGATTTGGTCAGACAGAAGCTATGAGACAAGGACTTGGAATTAAATAATAAAGTCATTAAATAAACTTAAAACAAATGTATTATACACAACAACTTAAATATTTTATTAAAGTAATGTCAATAAATGAAGGTTACTAAGCGATAAGCAGTTATGAGTGGTCACTACCATCATGGGACTTTTATTAATTATGGTCCTCTGTAGCTCAATTGGTAGAGCACGGCGCTTGTAACGCCAGGGTAGTGGGTTCGATCCCCGGGACCACCCATAAGTAAAAATGTATGCACACATGACTGTAAGTCGCTTTGGATAAAAGCGTCTGCTAAATGGCATATTATTATAAGCAGTTATGAGTGGTCACTACCATCATGGGACTTTTATTCTGTGTTCTTAAAACATTCAACCCACATAATGCATAGTGCATTTAATATCCCAAAAAATGTATGAAACCGAAACTGAAAACAGTGATTATTTTTTAAATAATCGAACCGACCTAAAAAAAAATCGCTTGAATCTACTGGTTAGCAGGGACTCCCTCTGCTGGCCCGGAATGGTAAAACTGACATGCGACCCTACAGCCACTCAACCTGGAAACAAACCCAAAGGTCACCTGGGAGGTCAACGAGGCCAGGCTCTGACAGTACAGCAGGAAAGTGTGTGTTTATTCATGTGTGTGTGTTTGTGCATCCGTGCGTGCGTGTGTGTGCATGTGAGCATATGTGTGTGCGTCTGTGTGTGCATCTGTGTGTGCGTCTGTGTGTGCGTCTGTGTGTGCGTCTGTGTGTGCGTCTGTGTGTTAGTCTGTGTGTGTGTCTGTATGTGTGTCTGTGTGTTAGTCTGTGTGTTAGTCTGTGTGTGTGTCTGTGTGTGTGTCTGTGTGTGCGTCTGTGTGTTAGTATGTGTGCTAGTCTGTGTGCTAGTCTGTGTGTTAGTCTGTGTGTTAGTCTGTGTGTTAGTCTGTGTGTGTGTGTAGTCTGTGTGTTAGTCTGTGTGTTAGTCTGTGTGTTAGTCTGTGTGTTAGTCTGTGTGTTAGTCGGTGTGTGGTAGTCCTGTGTTGTGTTAGTCGTGTGTAGTCTGTGTGTTAAGTCTGGTGTGGTGTTTAGTCTGGTGTGTGTTAGTGCTTGTGTGTTAGTCCTGTGTGTGCGTCTGGGTGTACGCTTGTGTGTGCGTCTGGTGGTGCGTCTGTGTGTTCGTCTGTTGTGTGTGTGTCTGGTGCGTGTGCTGTGTGCTTGTTTCTTGCGGGTCCTGTGGTGTTTGTATGTGTTGCTCCTGTGTGTGGTGTGTCTGTGTGTGCTCTGGTGTGTGCGTCTTTTTGTGCGGCGTGTGTGTGTCTGTGTTTGTCTTGTTTCTCAGTTGTGTTAGTCTGGTGTGCGTCGTGTGTTAGGCTGTGTGTTAGTCTGTGTTTATTCTGTGTGTGTTAGTCTGTGTGTGTTAGGCTGTGTGTGTTAGTCTGTTGTGTTTAGTCTGTGTGTGTTTTAGTCTGTTTGGTGTGTAGTCTGTGTGTGTGTCTGTGGGTAGTCCGTGTGTGGCGTCTGGGTGTTCGGCGTGTGTTAGTCTGTGTGTGTGCGTGTGTTAGTCTTGTGTTAGCTGTGTGTTCGTCCTTGTGTGTTGTCGGGTGTGTGTGGGTAGTCTGGTGTAGTCTGATGTGGTGCGTCTGTGGGTGTGTGTCTGTGCCTGTGCGTTGGTGTCCTGTTTGCGTGTGTCTGTGCGTGGCTGTGTGTTCGTCATTTGTGTGCGTCTGTGTGGCGTGTCTGTGTGTCGTCTTGTGGTTGCGTGCGTTGTGTGTCCCTGTTTGTTAGTCCTGTGTTTTAGTCTGTGGTGTTAAATCCTGGTGTGTGTGTCTGTGTTTAGTCTGTGTGTGTTAGTCTGTGGGTTAGAGTCTGTGTGTTTAGTCCTGTTGTGTGTAGTTTAGTCTGTGTGGTGTTTAGTCCTGTTGTGTGTCTGGTGGTTTAGTCTGTTGTCGTCTGGTGTGTTAGTCTGTGTGTTCGTCTGTGTCTGTTAGTTCCCGTGTTTTAGTCTGTGTGTTAGTCTGTGTGTTATGCCTGTGTGTGTTTCTGTGTTGAGTCCCCGTTTGTTAGTCTGTGTGTTAGTCTGTGTGTTAGTCGTGTGTTCGTCTGTGTGTTAGTCCGTGTGTTAGTATGTGTGGTTAGTCGTGTGTTTAGTCTTGTGTGTGTGTCTGGTGTGTTCAGTCCTGTGTTGAGAGGCTGTTGTGTAGTCTTGTTTAGTCTGTGTGTTCAGCCTGTGTTTTAGGGCTGTGTGTGCTTCTGTGTGGCGTCTGGTGTGTAAGGCTGTGTGTCGTCTGGTGTGTGTGTTCTGTGTTGTGTGTCCCCCCCCCCCCCTGTGTGTGTGTCCTGTGCGTGTGTCTGTGTTCGTGTGTCTGTGCGGTGTCGTTGTGTTAGTATGTGTGTGCGTCTGTGTTTCCGTCTGTGTGTGCGTCTGTGGCGTGTGTCTGTGTGCGTGCGTCTGTGTGTCCGGCTGTGTGTTATCTGTGTGCGTGTGCTTCGTTGTCTGTGTTTAGTTATGTGTGTTAGTCTGTGTGTTAGTCGTGTTTTAGTATGTTTGTTAGTAGTGTGGTCTTTCGCGTCTGTGTGTCCCGTCTGTGTGTGTTCTGTTGCGTTGTCGGTGTGCGGGGTTCCTGTGCGTGTCTGTGTGTTAGTCTGTGCTGTGTCTGTGGGTTAAGTCCTGTGTTGCGTCTGTGTGTGCGTCTGTGTGTGCGTCGTGGGCTGTGGATGTGTGTGAGTCTGTGTGTTTTAGTCTTTGTGTGTGCGTCTGTGTGTAAGTCCTGTTGTCGTCCTGTGTGTAGTCCTTGTTGTGTGTGTCTGTCGTGGTGTTCTGTGCGTGGTCTGGTGTGTGGTGTCCTGTGGCTTGTGTCTGTGTGCGTGTGTCTTGCGTGTCTGTGTGTTATCGGTGGTGGCGTCTGTGGTGTGCGTCTTGTGGCGTGTGTCTGTGTAGTTAGTCTGTGTGTTTATCTGTGTGTGTGTCTGTGTGTGTGTGTCTGTGTGTGTGTCTGTGTGCGTGTGTCTGTGCGTGTCTGTGTGTGCGTCTGTGTGTGTGTCTGTGTGTGCGTCTGTGTGTAAGTCTGTGTGTGTGTCTGTGCGTGTGTCTGTGTGTGTCTGTGTGTGTGTGTCTGTGTGCGTGTGTCTGTGCGTGTCTGTGTGTTAGTCTGTGTGTTAGTCTGTGTGTTAGTCTGTGTGTTAGTCTGTGTGTTAGTCTGTGTGTTAGTCTGTGTGTGCGTCTGTGTGTGCGTCTGTGTGTTAGTCTGTGTGTTAGTCTGTGTGTGTGTGTCTGTGCGTTAGTCTGTGTGTTAGTCTGTGTGTTATTCTGTGTGTTAGGCTGTGTGTTAGTCTGTGTGTTAGTCTGTGTGTTAGTCTGTGTGTGTTAAGTCTGTGTGTTAGTCTGTGTGTTAGTCTGTGTGTGTTAGTCTGTGTGTGTGTCTGTGTGTGCGTCTGTGTGTGCGTCTGTGTGTTAGTCTGTGTGTTAGTCTGTGTGTGTTAGTCTGTGTGTGTTAGTCTGTGGTAGTTGTGTGTTAGTCCTGGTGTGTGTCTGTGGTGTTCGTCTGTGTGTTTAGTCTGTGTGTTAGTCCTGTTGTTAGTCTGGGTGTTATCTGTTGTGTTGTCTGTGTGGTGCGTCTGTGTGTGCTCTGTGTTGCGGTTGTCTGTGCGTGTGTCTGTGCGTGTGTCCCTGTGTGCGTGTGTCCTTGGCGTGCTGTGTGTTAGTAATTGTGGTGCGTCTGTTTGTGTGGTTCTGTGTGTTAGTCTTGTGTTAGTCCTGTTGGTTTGTCGTGTGTGTGTGGCCCTGTGTGTTAGTCTGTGTGTGTAGTCTTGTGTTATCCTGTGTGTTAGTCTGTGTGGTGTTAGTCTGTGTGTGTTGAGTCTGTGTTTTCTGTGTGTTAGTCTTGGTTATCCTGTGTGTTTATTCTGTGTGTGTTCTGTGGGTCTGTTCGTCTGTGTGTTAGTCTGTGTTGTTTCCCTGTTGTTAGTCTTGTGTTAGTCTTTGTGTTAGATCTGTGTGTTAAGTCTGTGTGTGGTTAGTCTGTGTGTGTTAGTTCTGTGGGTGTGGTTAGTCTGTGTGTTAGTCTGTGTGTTTAGTCCGTGTGTGTGTCTGTGCGTGTGTCCTGGTGTGTCGTGTGTCTGTGCGTGTCTGTGTGTTAGTATGTGTGTGCGTCTGTGTGTCCGTCTGTGTGTGCGTCTGTGCGTGTGTCTGTGTGCGTGCGTCGGTGTGTCCGTCTGTGTGTTAGTCTGTGTGCGTGTGTCTGTGCGTGTGTCTGTGTGTTAGTATGTGTGTGCGTCTGTGTGTTCGTCTGTGTGTGTGTCTGTGCGTGTGTCTGTGTGCGTGTGTCTGTGCGTGTCTGTGTGTTAGTCTGTGCGTGTGTCTGTGTGTTAGTCTGTGTGTGCGTCTGTGTGTGCGTCTGTGTGTGCGTCTGTGTGCGTGTATGTGTGTTAGTCTGTGTGTTAGTCTGTGTGTGCGTCTGTGTGTAAGTCTGTGTGTAAGTCTGTGTGTAAGTCTGTGTGTGTGTGTGTCTGTGCGTGTCTGTGCGTGTGTCTGTGTGTGTCTGTGAGTGTGTGTCTGTGCGTGTGTCTGTGTGCGTGTGTCTGTGCGTGTCTGTGTGTTAGTCTGTGTGTTAGTCTGTGTGTGCGTCTGTGTGTGCGTCTGTGCGTGTGTCTGTGTGTTAGTCTGTGTGTGCATCTGTGTGTGTGTCTGTGTGTGTCTGTGTGTGTGTGTGTCTGTGTGTGTCTGTGTGCGTGTGTCTGTGCGTGTCTGTGTGTGCGTCTGTGTGTGCGTCTGTGTGTGCGTCTGTGTGTAAGTCTGTGTGTGTGTCTGTGCGTGTGTGTGTGTGTGTGTCTGTGTGTGTGTCTGTGCGTGTGTCTGTGTGCGTGTGTCTGTGCGTGTCTGTGTGTTAGTCTGTGTGTTAGTCTGTGTGTGCGTCTGTGTGTGCGTCTGTGTGTGCGTCTGTGTGTTAGTCTGTGTGTTAGTCTGTGTGTTAGTCTGTGTGTGTGTGTCTGTGCGTTAGTCTGTGTGTTAGTCTGTGTGTTATTCTGTGTGTTAGGCTGTGTGTTAGTCTCTGTGTTAGTCTGTGTGTTAGTCTGTGTGTTAGTCTGTGTGTGTTAGTGTGACGACCCTTCCACTCTGTCTGCCGTATTTTCTCTTTGCTCTTGTTTCCTTATTAGGATGCCGGTGGGCGGAGTTTGGAGGGTCGTCAGCTATATGGGAAACACCTGGGCCGGGTGTGTCCCAGGATAAATGGACCTCTTCCACATTCATTAAGGAGACTCTCTCCAGGCAGATACTTTGATTTTGGTTGTGACATTTTTGTGGCCTTTTTGGATTGTTTGCTTTGGCACTTATCAATACTTTTCTATATTACATTTATGCAAGCAAACACTCACTTACACTACTGATTACTGATTACACACGCCATTGTTATTTCAGTTAGTTACTTTAATTAATAAATATATACTTTGAGTACTCCTTGTCTCCACGTGTCTCCCTTTTGTTACGAACTTGAGCCGGTTCGTGACAAGTGGGGGCTCGTCTGGGATATTGAACTGGTTGTGTTTGGGAGAACGTGGAGTTAATGTCCAATTCTGTAGGGTCTTTCGTTGTAAATTTTGTTAGTTTGTTTGAGGTTGATAGGCCAGTATTGGTTGCCTTTGGGTTTTGTACTGCGTTCGAGAGAGTACATTGGTTAGTTTTCCAGTCCCTGCCCAGCCTGGAAACTCTTTGCTCTACTCGCTGTTGGGACATCGGTCTGAGGAGGTGAGTACAATCGGCTGTGTACCTCAGTGGGAGATTGGGTAGGGTAGTGACATTTGCTACCCGGAGCTATAGCTTTTTCCCCTGATAGGCTTAGTGACGTGTTTTGTTTTGGGATACGTTGGGCATGGTTAAATGTTTGTTATTTTTGTGTGGTGTCAGTGGACTGAGCAGTTGTCTCGGGGGCACATCCGTGGCTTGGGGAAATCTACCAGCGTGCTGGGGGGTTTAATTCCTTGCCAGCGGGCTACAGTGCGTAATTACCCACCGCGAATCTGCACGAAGACTAGGGTTGAGTTATTGTAGGTTTTGGGGAAGCTCCATATCCCAGCTCTCTTCTGTGGTGCTCGGTGTGATTGTCATTTCTCTTGTGTCTGGTGTGCTCAGCAGAGGGGTTGAGCAAGATTATTATGATATATATATATATTTTTTTTTTTTCTCCTGATTATGGCGTCTAATGTAGATGAGTTCATTCGCTTTCCATCAGAAGAACTGTTGGAATTATGTACTAAAGAACAGCTGTTGAAGGTTGCTGAACACTACAAGGTTGAAATTAGTGATAAACGCCTAAAAAATTCTATTAGGTTAATATTGAAGGCCAATTTGATGGAGAGTGGTATTCTGGATGTTACCACTGGGGCAGCCTCTGCTGAGGACACGTTGTCTCCCCCGATATGTTACAATGACCGCTCCATCGGTTAGTCATAGTGGTCTTCTTTTTGAACAGCAGAAAGAACTGCTTCTGTTACAGCTAGAGCATGAACAAATGGACAAAGAGCTAAAATGGAGCATGATCGTGTAAAATATGAAAGGGAATTGGAATTTAAACAGGATATGGAGCGTGCTAAAATCAAGCTGCAACAAGAGCGACTAGAGTTGGTCAGGGAAGGAAAGCTCTCAGGGGAGAGTTTACTCTGGGAAGGTGACCCAGAGTTACCTAGGGGTCGTTCCTCTTTTGGTCGTAATCCAGACACATTTGATGTTGTAGGGAATTTACGGTTGTTGCCCCAGTTTAATGAAAAGGACCCGGAGACATTCTTTTCGTTGTTTGAGCGTGTTGCTGACGCTAGGAGTTGGCCTGATTCTGATCGCACTTTGATGTTGCAGTGTGTGCTGACTGGTAAAGCGCAAGAAGCATATTCAGCTCTTAGTGTAGCAGACAGTGTTAGTTATGAGAAGGTTAAAATGGCTGTGTTAAAGAGTTATGAATTGGTCCCTGAGGCTTACCGCCAACGATTTAGAACTTTAAAAAGGGATGATCAGCAGACTCATGTTGAGTTTTGCGCGAATATTATCTTCACAGTTCAATCGCTGGTGTTCTGCCTCTGCAGTTATGACTTTCCAAGGGCTGTGTGATCTGATTATGTTAGAACAATTTAAGGACACAATCCCTGATCGTATAGCGACGTACATTAACGAACGAAAAATAAAGACTGTCGCTGAAGCTGCGGTTTTGGCAGATGAATATGTGTTGACTCACAAAAATGTTTTTTGCAGAACCCCGTATTCGGAGTGAGTGGGGGCGTTCGCAGAGATTTGGGCCGCGCTCGCCGAGATACTTCGGTTCCCGGGCAGAGTTTCATTCAAATAGGGTTGAGCCTGATACCCGTGGTAAAACTGACGTTGGTCAAGAATGTCACTACTGTCAAGAATTAGGTCATTGGAAAAATGAATGTCCGATTCTTAGGTCTAGGGGTAAATTCAGTACAGGGGCTTATGGTAAATCGAGGCCTGCAGCGTTAGCCGCGCCTGTTCCACATCAGTTCACTCATGACGCATTGTCTCATGCCCGGAGCCAGGTGAAGGCTTATATTGATCCCGACTATTTACCTTTCGTTACGGAGGGTTTTGTGTCTATGGTAGGAAGTAAGAACTTAGTGCCAGTAAAGATCCTAAGAGACACAGGTGCCTCTGAATCATTTGTGTTGGAATCTGTGTTACCCTTCTCTGCGGAGACTGATTCGGGGAATAGTGTTCTAATTAGGGGAATAGGTTTGAACACTCTGTCAGTTCCATTGCATAAACTGATGTTGGATTGTGGACTGGTGAAAGGTGAGGTTGTTGTGGGGGTGCGTCCTTCATTGCCTATTGAGGGTATTGACGTGATCCTTGGAAATAACTTGGCTGGGGAGCGTGTGTGGCCTATCGTGTCTCCATCTTTAGTGGTTTCCACTAAGCCGTCAATTGTAGGGATTCCTGATGAGAGTGCGCAGAATTTCCCAGAGGTGTTTTTCTGCGTGTGCAGTGACGCGTTCTATGATCCATGACGACCTGGTCACGGAGCTGGCTAACGAGAATACCATAAAGAAGTCTGTTACTGTTTTCTCTGTTATCCCGTTATCTGTATCCCGCTCCGATTTAATCGAGGCGCAACGGACTGACCCTACATTAGAAGAGTTGCGGGACCAAATTGTGCCTGTGGAACAGTTGGGAGATGTCACACAGGGTTATTTTCTCCAAGAGGAGGTCCTGATGAGAAAGTGGATGTCTCATGGTAGTTGTTTTCTGGGGGAGGCGATTAGTCAGGTTGTGGTACCAGTTAAGCTTCGTGAGTTGGTGCTGACAACTTCTCACAACGACGTTGCTGGGCATATGGGTGTGAGAAAAACCTACAATCGCATATTACGACATTTCTTTTGGCCAGATTAAAGAGGGATGTTTCTGATTTCATCAAAACTTGTCACACCTGTCAATTAACTGGTAAACCTAATCAAGCTATTAAGCCGGTACCACTGTTCCCTATTCCTGTACTCAGTAAACCTTTTGAGTATCTGATTATTGACTGTGTTGGTCCTCTGCCTCGTTCCAGAAAGGGTAGTAATTATTTGTTGACTGTGATGTGTCAGACCACTAGGTTTCCTGCTGCCTATCCTCTCCGGTCTATCACGACTAAGTCTGTGTTAAAAGCTTTGACTCAGTTTTTCTCACTGTTTGGAATCCCTAAGGTCATTCAAAGTGATCAAGGATCTAATTTCACCTCTAATCTCTTTGGACAGGTTCTCCAACAACTCCATATTAAACACAACTTGTCTAGCGCTTATCATGCCCAAAGTCAAGGAGCACTGGAACGTTTCCATCAAACGCTTAAGTCTTTGTTGAGAGCTTATTGTACTGAGATGGATAAGGATTGGGAGGAGGGGGTTGCCTTGGTTACTGTTAGCTGCTAGGGAGGTTTCACAGGAGAGCACAGGTTTTAGCCCAAATGACCTAGTGTTTGGACATAAGGTGCGTGGGCTTTTATCTGTTCTCCAGGATGACTGGAAGTCTCCCGAGCCTCCTCAGTCCCTGTTATCATATGTGTGTGATTTTCGGAGACGCTTGTATGCCGCTGGTGAAATGGCTAAAGAGAAGCTATCATCTTCACAGGACAGGATGAAGAGCATATATGATCGGCGAGCTGAGCCTCGTCACTTTAGTCCAGGTGATCAGGTTCTGGCTCTGCTGCCAATTGTTGGTTCTCCTTTTCAAGCCAAGTTTCAAGGTCCATATACAGTGGTGCGCCAGTACACTGAGCAAAATTATCTAGTTGCCACTCCAGAACGGAGGAAAGCACACCAACTGTGCCATATAAATTTGTTAAAACCCTATTATGCACGTTCCTCTGAGACTGAACAGGGGGAGTCTACAGAGGACGGTAAGGCTGTTCTTTTGGCTGATACTGTTTATTCCCTGGATTCTGGTCATGCTAGGTCTGTGCAGGAGCAGGAAGATGTTTCTGGTCCCGACGATTGCATACTGCAGGGTAGATTGAAGAATTCAGAGACACTGGAGATTTTAGATAGTCTTCTTACTCATCTACCTGTTGATGGGCGGAAAGAGATGGTGGGTCTGATTCGGAGATTTCCAGGGTTGTTTTCTGATACACCAAACACGTACAAACTTAATAGAACATGATATTGACATTGGAGATGCTGACCCCATTCGTCAACGGTTCTATAGAGTTTCTTCAGAGAAACTGCGTTGTCTGGATGCTGAGGTCAGGTACATGCTGGAGAGTAAAATAGCAGAGCCTTCTTTCTCCAGTTGGGCTTCTCCCTGTATCTTGGTCAGTAAATCGGATGGAACAAACAGATTTTGTACGGACTACCGTAAGGTAAACGATGTCACTAAGCCGGATTCATTTCCTCTTCCTCGGATGGAGGACTGCGTTGATCAAGTCGGCGCAGCTAAGTTTGTGAGCAAATTTGACCTGTTAAAGGGCTATTGGCAGGTGCCACTGACGAGTAGGGCACGTGAAATCTCTGCCTTTATTACACCTTTTGGTCTGTACTCGTATTCGGTTATGAGTTTCGGGCTGCGTAATGCGCCTGCAACTTTTCAGCGACTTATGAACAGGGTTGTCTCTGGTCTGGCCGGGTGCGCTGTTTATCTGGACGATGTAGTGATATATGCAGATACTTGGGAGGAACATCTGTCCCGTATTCAAGCCTTGTTCGAACGTCTGGCTGCGGGTCGTCTCACGATAAATTTGGCTAAATGTGAGTTTGCTCAGGCGACTGTTACATACCTTGGAAAGGTGGTTGGGCAGGGTGAAGTGCGTCCTGTTCGGGCTAAAGTGGTAGCTATTGATGCTTTTCCACTACCAACTACTAAAAAGGAACTGATGCGTTTCTTGGGAATGATTGGGTATTATCGTGGTTTTTTGTAGGAACTTCTCTACTGTGGTCGCTCCCTTGACAGATTTGCTGAAAGCTAAGGCTGTGTACGTATGGTCTTCTCATTGTCAACAGGCTTTCGAAGATGCAAAGAGGTTGCTTACTTCAACTCCGGTACTGGCTGCTCCTCGTGTGGATTTGTCATTTACCTTGCAGGTGGATGCTAGTCATGTGGGGGCGGGTGCAGTGTTGCTGCAAGCAGATGTGGCTGGGGTTGAGAGGCCTGTTAGTTTCTTTTCCAAAAAGTTTAACCATTATCAGTTGAACTATTCGGTCATTGAAAAAGAAGCATTAGCACTTATATGGGCGCTACAAACACTTTGAAGTGTATGTTGGGTCGGGTGTAGTACCTATTGTGGTCTACACCGACCATAACCCTCTCACATTTTTGAGGTCCATGAGGTGTCCTAATCAGAGGATAATGAGATGGTGTTTATTTTTACAATCTTTCCATCTAGATGTGCGGCACATCCGGGGGACTGATAACGTGATTGCTGATGCGCTCTCTCGTGCGCCCTGTTCATGAATATTGATGTGACCGACCAGTGTTTGATTTTGTCATGTTCTATCTTTCCTGTTTGTCCCCTCCTAGTCTTGTGTTTTTCTTTCCTCTTAAAGGTTGCTTCCTGTGTAAAGGTTGCTGAGGTCTGGAGAGGAGGATGATGGGTGGGGCAAGTGGAGGGGTGAACATGTACAAATTGTCGGTTTGGGACGCAGGGGCTGGTACGTTGGTCCGGGGTCCTTGTTGGTCCCCGGTCTTATGGGGGGGGGTGTGACGACCCTTCCACTCTGTCTGCCGTATTTTCTCTTTGCTCTTGTTTCCTTATTAGGATGCCGGTGGGCGGAGTTTGGAGGGTCGTCAGCTATATGGGAAACACCTGGGCCGGGTGTGTCCCAGGATAAATGGACCTCTTCCACATTCATTAAGGAGACTCTCTCCAGGCAGATACTTTGATTTTGGTTGTGACATTTTTGTGGCCTTTTTGGATTGTTTGCTTTGGCACTTATCAATACTTTTCTATATTACATTTATGCAAGCAAACACTCACTTACACTACTGATTACTGATTACACACGCCATTGTTATTTCAGTTAGTTACTTTAATTAATAAATATATACTTTGAGTACTCCTTGTCTCCACGTGTCTCCCTTTTGTTACGAACTTGAGCCGGTTCGTGACAGTTAGTCTGTGTGTTAGGCTGTGTGTTAGTCTGTGTGTTAGTCTGTGTGTTAGTCTGTGTGTTAGGCTGTGTGTTATTCTGTGTGTGTTATTCTGTGTGTGTTAGTCTGTGTGTTAGTCTGTGTGTTAGTCTGTGTGTTAGGCTGTGTGTTAGTCTGTGTGTTAGTCTGTGTGTTAGTCTGTGTGTTAGTCTGTGTGTTAGTCTGTGTGTTAGTCTGTGTGTTAGGCTGTGTGTTAGTCTGTGTGTTAGTCTGTGTGTTATTCTGTGTGTTAGTCTGTGTGTTAGTCTGTGTGCGTGTGTCTGTGTGTGTCTGTGTGTGTGTGTCTGTGCGTGTGTCTGTGTGCGTGTGTCTGTGCGTGTCTGTGTGTTAGTCTGTGTGTTAGTCTGTGTATGTTAGTCTGTGTGTGTCTGTGTGTTAGTCTGTGTGTTAGTCTGTGTGTGTGTGTCTGTGCGTGCGTCTGTGCGTGCGTCTGTGTGTTAGTCTGTGTGTTAGTCTGTGTGTTAGTCTGTGTGTTAGTCTGTGTGTTAGTCTGTGTGTGTGTGTCTGTGCATGCGTCTTCATGTGACTTGCTAGATTAAATGTGTGTTGGGCAGGGTTTCGGTTAGCCGGCTTTTGGCCGGAAAAAAATAAGAAAAGCTGTTGCCCGCCACAATGACCAGGAGAAAAAAAAATCCCATTGCAAAATAATGCTTTTTATAAATTGATGGAAATACCAGTCGATGGAAATACATTTGACCATCATGCTTATTGGTCTACAAGTTAATTTACATAAAATAGTGGAATTTAATTGGCATATGTGTATTTTCGTTAGTCATCATGTATTTTATTTATCCAACACAACTATCACATGCACACAACATACAAAGCCTATTTTGAGCATGATTTCTACTGTAGCTCCTGAACTGGTTGCTGCTGGAGTAAAACGTGATTTTATAAGACCATTCATCGCGCAATAATTCTAAACGCAATCGCGTGTTAAAAACAGTTTTGGTGCAGGACTAAAAAGAGCTAGGCCTACTATTTTTATTTCTCAGCTGGTATTCTAAATGAATCGCGCCTCCCATTCACCATTAAAGTCCAGGCAACAGGCTATCACCGCGTCACCACCACTTTACAATGTGAGCTGGACGCAGTATGCATTTTGAAACATAGGCCTACTTAATTGTTTGAAACCTGAATGTTTTACTTCACATTATAAGGCATGTCTTACCTTGCTTCAAAGTAGCCTATAGGCAAATCCGACCATGGGAACGTGGAGGCAATTTTATAAAGCGTGCAATTTATCCTACTATTTCTACGGATCTGTGTGCCAGTTATGATTTCATATGCGCATTTAAAGTTAAAATTAAACTAATGCGATAGCACCAGCCTCTGCCATACGGACACATTGATACACAGTGATCCATTGGCGGCAAAATAAAGGAGCGCATGGAACTCATAGCCTATAAGGCCAATGCAGTAGTAGGTCTATAACTTCCATTGTCAACTAAGTCAAAATACATAAAGCCGACAAATACACGTCTTGACTTGAGCTACATGCTTGCTGGTGTATTTTGAATTATTTTATTTATTTCTGTATAGACAGGAGTAATTATATAATTTTGGCAAATGTTTTTAAATTTACTTCCCTAGCATATTCAATGTGCCGCCTATGAAATACTTCCTCATATGCCATTTCTCTCCAGTTCTATTGGTTTTCATATCATATTTCTTTCATTCATGGCCTCCTGTAGCTCAGTTGGTAGAGCATGGCGCTTGCAACGCCAGGGTTGTGGGTTCGTTTCCCACGGGGGGCCAGTATAAAAAATATATGCACTCACTAACTGTAAGTCGCTCTGGATAAGAGCGTCTACTAAAATGTCCAGAAGCCAAAGGCACAATCCTAGTCATATTAGCAACCCATCCTATGGGTTACATCTTCAGATTCCCCCTCTTTCTAAGTTTCTAACAGAGATTTTCATCTCCGTCACATATAGAACCGCTCTCATCAGGTGCGCAGTTTAGAATGGAGTTTTCCTGAAAATCGCAGTTTAGCAAATGTTTGAAAATGACGTTTTATCGGCTGCTTCATTACAGGGCATGTTCTGTTAAGATGAGTTACCATAATCTAAATGTGATTTCTGTGATGTCATTCTGAGCCCCGTGGGTGGACGCCCTAAAGAGTTATGCACTCAATGGATATGTGTCCCGGTAAATTTCTCAAATGGCCGGTAAATGAAAATCTTTCTGGTCACGTTGTCCGGCACCACATTTTCCTAACGGAAACCCTGGTGATTGAAAATAAACTTTTATGACACCCAACAGCCGTCAAGCATTCCAGTCAACATCCTGAAATAAATTCCTAGTAAAGCGCTAGTGGGACCTGAAGGCCAACTGTCTGACGAGAAGAGCCAGGGAGGAGGTCAGGCAGGGTCTTACAGGCAGGCAGGCAGGCAGGCTGTCTGTCTGTCTGTCTGTCTGTCTGTCTGTCTGTCTGTCTGTCTGTCTGTCTGTCTGTCTGTCTGTCTGTCTGTCTGTCTGTCTGTCTGTCTGTCTGTCTGTCTGTCTGTCTGTCTGTAACAGGTGCTTCTAATGTGCTCTATAGTTACAGGAAGCAAAAACATGCAGCACACACAAGAGATAAACATGCACATGAAGAATCAACATTCACTATTCAGTATGCTGCATATTGTGACAGTTTTAGGACTGCTTTTTATTGTGAGTCTCCTGGGAAAAGTCCTGAGGAGATTTCACAGAGACTATCAACTGAAACACTCTAGTCTAGAGGAAACCTGGCAATCAGACAAGTCTCACACTGGTGTTACTCCCAGGCACCGAACACACACACGCACACACACACACACCACAGTGATACACACGCACACACACCACAGTGATACACACACACGCACACACACACCACGTGGAAAAAAAAAAACCCAGTGGACAGAGATTTTCTACAAGGAATCTGCCTCCTGAAAAACAAAAAAGCTTCTCCCAAACGGGTGTGACAACTATTCCCATTGCCTGCTGCACTGCTGCTTGGATTCCACCTGGCGATCTGTTCACCGTCTGCCCTGTCTCCCCCTGTCTGGTACAGGTACCACCGCCACGCTCCCCCTTCTCTCCCGAGCTTTCGCTCGCCTCCAGCACACACACACACTTACACACAGCAGACTTTGGACTGATCGGAATTTTAGGTAGGCTAATTAACTTGTGAAGCTTATTATGTGAGCTTACTCAGAAACTCTTTAACTAACTAGTATAGGCCTACTATTTATTTATTTTATCTCATACTTTTATAGTCTACTGGACTCATAGAGAGCTAGTATCTCAAGTTATCTTGTTGTGGCGAGTGACTCTTTGAACTTACAGTGGCCATCCCCAAGTCGTTATATTTTTGCTATTTGCCTCATGACTCCTGCATGATTTGTTGACTATGAACTTGCTTGTTTACCCAACCGTGGGACAGACAATGTTTGTTCCCACACTCGGGACTCTGACTCTCTATTGGTTACACAGACTCTTGGCCTCCCATCCTATTCTAACCACCTCTCGCCGGCTTTGTATTCATGTTACCTGATGCAATTGCTGTACAATATGATCTTGTTGCCATCTGATGCACATTCAAATGTCATAAAAAATAAACACTGCAGAGCTCTTCCTGTCCTCTGCCGTGCCCTGATTGTATTACTGCTGATGAAATCTGGAAATACACCCTGGCCCATCTACTGTTGCTAGCCCCAATCCTGACTTTCTGCACGTTAACACTAGAAGCTTATTACTTAAAATGTATCAATTGAAAGTGTGGGTTCACAGCTCCAATCTAGATGTGCAGGTCATTACTGAGACGTGGTTAAGAAAGAGTGTTTTGAACAATGATGTTAACCTTTCTGGTTATAACCTTTTTCGTCAAGACAGATCTTCCAAAGGTGGTGGAGTGGCAATCTTTACCAAGGAACACCTTCAGTGCTCGGTTTGTCTCCAGTAAATCTGTCCCCAAACAATTAGATTTGCTGGTTTTAAGCATTAAACTTTCAAGTAGCTCTTTGTTGACTGTTGCTGGGTGTTATCGTCCACCATCAGCACCGGCCTGTACCCTACCTGCCCTAAGCTCTCTCCTGGCCCCTTTGTCCTTCTAGGTGACCTAAACTGGGACATGCTTATACTGACCAAGTCCTAAAGCAATGGGACTCCCTAAATCTTTCTCAGATTATTACCAATCCCACAAGGTATGACTCCAAACAGCCAGAAAAGGCTACTCTCCTTGATGTTATTCTCACAAATAATACTAATAGGTATCAGTCTGGTGTTTTCTGTAATGACCTTAGTGATCACTGTTTTACAGCCTGTGTTTGTAATGGCTGCTCAGTGAAACGACCTGTCCTGATTTGTCATAGACACTTTAACGAGCAAGCCTTCCTTCATGACCTGGCCTCTGTACATTGGTATAGAATCAGCCTGATCCCCTCTGTCGAAGAAGCTTGGACCTTCTTTTTTGATATTTTCAGTGGTATTGTTAACAAACACGTCCCCATAAAGAAAATGAGAATTAAAAACAGGTTCAGCCCCTGGTTCGACCGTGATCTGGCAGAGTTACTCCACCTCAAGAATTCCATTTGACGAAAGGCTCGACACATGCATACTCAGGCTGACTGGCTCTTGTTCAGGCAGATGAGAAATAAGTTCACTCAGGCTATCCGGAAGGCCAAAGTTAGTTATTTTAAGGAGCAGTTCTCTCTCTGTGGGTCTAACCCCAAGAAGTTCTGGAAAACGGTTAAAGACCTGGAGAATAAACACTCACAGCTGCCCATGTCCCTTAATGTTGATGATGTGGTTGTTACTGACAAGGAGCACATGGCTGAGCTCTTTAATCACCACTTCATTAAGTCAGGATTCCTATTTGACTCAGCCATGCCTCATTGCCCATCCAACATTTCCTAATCTCCCACCCCTTCTAATGCGACTAGCCCCGATGCTCCTCCCTCTTTCTCCCCTGCCCCGCTACAAAGTTTCTCCCTGCAAGCAATCACTGAGTCTGAGTTGCTAAAGGAGCTCCTTAAACTTGACCCCAAAAAACCATAACCTGTCTCTCCTCTCTGGGGAGGTTCTCATTGCTTGGAAGGCAGCCACGGTCTGTCCTTATTTAATGGGGAGATCAAGCTGATCCTAACTGTTATAGGCCAATTTCTATTTTGCCCTGTTTATCAAAAGTGTTGGAAGAACTTGTCAATAATCAACTGACTGGCTTTCTTGATGTCTATAGTATTCTCTCTGGTATGCAATCTGGTTTCTGCTTCAGGTTATGGATGTGTCACTGCAACCATAAAGGTCCTAAATTATGTCACCATTGCCCTTGATTCTAAGCAATGTTGTGCTGCTATTTTTATTGACTTGACCAAAGCTTTTGATATGGTAGACCATTCCATTCTTGTGGGCGTATTGGTGTCTCTGAGGGGTCTTTGGCCTGGTTTGCTAACTACCTCTCTCAAAGAGTGCAGTGTATAAAGTCAGAACATCTGCTGTCTCAGCCACTGCCTGTCACCAAGGGAGAACCCCAAGGCTCGATCCTAGGCCCCACGCTCTTCTCAATTTACATCAACAACATAGCTCAGGCAGTAGGAAGCTCTCTCAACCATTTTTATGCAGATGATACAGTCTTATACTCAGCTGGCCCCTCCCCGGATTTTGTGTTAAAACGCTTTACAACAAATCTTTCTTAGTGTCCAACAAGCTTTCTCTGCCCTTAACCTTATTCTGAACACCTTCAAAACAAAGGTCATGAGGTTTGGTAAGAAGAATGCCCCTCTCCCCACCGGTGTGATTACTACCTCTGAGGGTTTACTTGGGAGTATGGCTAGACGGTACACTGTCCTTCTCTCAGCACATATCAAAGCTGCAGGCTAAGGTTAAATCTAGACTTGATTTCCTCTATCGTAACCATTCCTCTTTCACCCCAGCTGCCAAACTAACCCTGATTCAGATGACCATCCTACCCATGCTAGATTATGGAAACGTAATTTATAGATCAGCAGGTAAGGGTGCTCTCGAGCGGCTAGATGTTCTTTACCATTTGGCCATCCGATTTGCCACCCAATGCTCCTTATAGGACACATCACTGCACTCTATACTCCTCTGTAAACTGGTCATCTCTGTATACCCGTCCCAAGACCCAATGGTTTGATGCTTATTTATAAAACCCTCTTAGGCCTCACTCCCCCCTATCTGAGATACCTACTGCAGCCCTCATCCTCCACATACAACACCCATTCTGCCAGTCACATTCTGTTAAAGGTTCCCAAAGCACACACATCCCTGGGTCGCTCCTCTTTTCAGTTCGCTGCAGCTAGCGACTGGAACGAGCTGCAAAAAACACTCAAACTGGACAGTTTTTATCTCCATCTCTTCATTCAAAGACTCAATCAAGGACACTCTTACTGACAGTTGCAGCTGCTTCACGTGATGTATTGTTGTCTCTACCTTCTTACCCTTTGTGCTGTTGTCTGTGCCCAATAATGTTTGCACCATGTTTTGTGCTGCTGCCATGTTGTGTTTCTACCATGTTGTTGTCATGTGGTGTTGCTACCATGCTCTGTTGTCATGTGTTGCTGCCATGCTATGTTGTTTGTCTTAGGTCTCTCTTTATGTAGTGTTGTGGTGTCTCTCTTGTTGTGATGTGTGTTTTTGTCCTATATTTTGATTTTAATCCCAACCCCCATCCCCGCAAGAGGCCTTTTGGTAGGCCGTCATTGTAAATAAGAATTTGTTTTTAACTGAATTGCCTAGTTAAATAAAAAATACACTTGGCATTTACTCAACACGGGGCGGCAGGTAGATTAGTGGTTAAGAGCGTTGTGCCAGTAACCGAAAGGTTGCTGGTTCTAATCCCCGAGCCGACTAGGTGAAAAATCTGCCGATGTGCCCTTGAGCAAGGCACTTAACCCTAATTGCTCCTGTAAGTCACTCTGGATAAGAGCGTCTGCTAAATGACTAAAATGTAAATGTAAACAACTGTACCTGAGAAAAATTCTAGATCACATGTTTCCTATGCAAACACTGCATTTGTGTACACAGACAATGACGGGAATAAGTTGAACACTTTAATGCTGTTTAACCATCAGCCAACTGAAAGCCTTTTTTATTTCAGTATGTATTTCTCCAGGGTGAGAGTTATTTTGATCAAAGCACAGTGTGAGAAGAGGACTTGTATGTGATGAGTAACCATTAAACCACTGTCTTTCTGTCCATGTAGGTCATACGGAAATAAGTCAAAATACAATTCCCACTTGATGATTTAATAACATACGTGTTTATGGTTGACTAGGCAGCAGTGTGCCCTGCTCATTTCAGCAGCTCTCTCTCTGCCATTCTCTCCTCTTACCCATACATGGACAGGCAGGGCCAGGGAGGAATGCAGGCCGACAGCTGAGAGGGAGGCTTACCTCAGCGCTACACAAAGCACTGCTGTTGGGCTATTAGCCTAGCCACAGACTACTAGGAGATAGTTGCTGTTGTATAGCCTAGCCACAGACCAGTAAGGTTTGAGATACAAGCCCTGTCGTTGAGCTATTAGCCTAGTATTAGCCACAGACCAGAAGTAAAAGTCCTTCTGTTGAGCTAGCATAGCCACAGACTAGGAGAGGTTGAGATACAAGCCCTGTCGTTGAGCTATTAGCCTAGCATTAGCCACAGACCAGAAGTCCTTCTGTTGAGCTAGATGCTAACAAGTAGAAAACATCCGCCACTTAAACAATTTAATGAGAAATGGCAGAATTAAAGCAGATCAAATCATTAAGAAGAAAAAGGGGGGGAAGTGAGGGGAGAAAGACTAGGGATTGGTTTCTAGAATCACACCATAATACGTCATAAAGGATATAAATGCCATGTCTTGGACAATAGGGGAGAGAATAGCTAATCAGATTGGCTCGGGCTGTTTTCCAGACATCTGCAGGAGTCTGTCAAATTCTGATGCTGGAACCTTTGTTATAATAAACCTTTGAAAACAGAGTACAGTGTCGGCGGATCTTCCTTATCATTACAGCATGGACCAGCAAAAGTGTTTCTTTTAGTAACCACAACCGCTCTCATCAGGTGCGCAGTTTAGAATGGAGTTTTCCTGAAAATCGCAGTTTAGCAAATGTTTGAAAATGACGTTTTATCGGCTGCTTCATTACAGGGCATGTTCTGTTAAGATGAGTTACCATAATCTAAATGTGATTTCTGTGATGTCATTCTGAGCCCCGTGGGTGGACGCCCTAAAGAGTTATGCACTCAATGGATATGTGTCCCGGTAAATTTCTCAAATGGCCGGTAAATGAAAATCTTTCTGGTCACGTTGTCCGGCACCACATTTTCCTAACGGAAACCCTGGTGATTGAAAATAAACTTTTATGACACCCAACAGCCGTCAAGCATTCCAGTCAACATCCTGAAATAAATTCCTAGTAAAGCGCTAGTGGGACCTGAAGGCCAACTGTCTGACGAGAAGAGCCAGGGAGGAGGTCAGGCAGGGTCTTACAGGCAGGCAGGCAGGCAGGCTGTCTGTCTGTCTGTCTGTCTGTCTGTCTGTCTGTCTGTCTGTCTGTCTGTCTGTCTGTCTGTCTGTCTGTCTGTCTGTCTGTCTGTCTGTCTGTCTGTCTGTCTGTCTGTCTGTCTGTAACAGGTGCTTCTAATGTGCTCTATAGTTACAGGAAGCAAAAACATGCAGCACACACAAGAGATAAACATGCACATGAAGAATCAACATTCACTATTCAGTATGCTGCATATTGTGACAGTTTTAGGACTGCTTTTTATTGTGAGTCTCCTGGGAAAAGTCCTGAGGAGATTTCACAGAGACTATCAACTGAAACACTCTAGTCTAGAGGAAACCTGGCAATCAGACAAGTCTCACACTGGTGTTACTCCCAGGCACCGAACACACACACGCACACACACACACACCACAGTGATACACACGCACACACACCACAGTGATACACACACACGCACACACACACCACGTGGAAAAAAAAAACCCAGTGGACAGAGATTTTCTACAAGGAATCTGCCTCCTGAAAAACAAAAAAGCTTCTCCCAAACGGGTGTGACAACTATTCCCATTGCCTGCTGCACTGCTGCTTGGATTCCACCTGGCGATCTGTTCACCGTCTGCCCTGTCTCCCCCTGTCTGGTACAGGTACCACCGCCACGCTCCCCCTTCTCTCCCGAGCTTTCGCTCGCCTCCAGCACACACACACACTTACACACAGCAGACTTTGGACTGATCGGAATTTTAGGTAGGCTAATTAACTTGTGAAGCTTATTATGTGAGCTTACTCAGAAACTCTTTAACTAACTAGTATAGGCCTACTATTTATTTATTTTATCTCATACTTTTATAGTCTACTGGACTCATAGAGAGCTAGTATCTCAAGTTATCTTGTTGTGGCGAGTGACTCTTTGAACTTACAGTGGCCATCCCCAAGTCGTTATATTTTTTGCTATTTGCCTCATGACTCCTGCATGATTTGTTGACTATGAACTTGCTTGTTTACCCAACCGTGGGACAGACAATGTTTGTTCCCACACTCGGGACTCTGACTCTCTATTGGTTACACAGACTCTTGGCCTCCCATCCTATTCTAACCACCTCTCGCCGGCTTTGTATTCATGTTACCTGATGCAATTGCTGTACAATATGATCTTGTTGCCATCTGATGCACATTCAAATGTCATAAAAAATAAACACTGCAGAGCTCTTCCTGTCCTCTGCCGTGCCCTGATTGTATTACTGCTGATGAAATCTGGAAATACACCCTGGCCCATCTACTGTTGCTAGCCCCAATCCTGACTTTCTGCACGTTAACACTAGAAGCTTATTACTTAAAATGTATCAATTGAAAGTGTGGGTTCACAGCTCCAATCTAGATGTGCAGGTCATTACTGAGACGTGGTTAAGAAAGAGTGTTTTGAACAATGATGTTAACCTTTCTGGTTATAACCTTTTTCGTCAAGACAGATCTTCCAAAGGTGGTGGAGTGGCAATCTTTACCAAGGAACACCTTCAGTGCTCGGTTGTCTCCAGTAAATCTGTCCCCAAACAATTAGATTTGCTGGTTTTAAGCATTAAACTTTCAAGTAGCTCTTTGTTGACTGTTGCTGGGTGTTATCGTCCACCATCAGCACCGGCCTGTACCCTACCTGCCCTAAGCTCTCTCCTGGCCCCTTTGTCCTTCTAGGTGACCTAAACTGGGACATGCTTATACTGACCAAGTCCTAAAGCAATGGGACTCCCTAAATCTTTCTCAGATTATTACCAATCCCACAAGGTATGACTCCAAACAGCCAGAAAAGGCTACTCTCCTTGATGTTATTCTCACAAATAATACTAATAGGTATCAGTCTGGTGTTTTCTGTAATGACCTTAGTGATCACTGTTTTACAGCCTGTGTTTGTAATGGCTGCTCAGTGAAACGACCTGTCCTGATTTGTCATAGACACTTTAACGAGCAAGCCTTCCTTCATGACCTGGCCTCTGTACATTGGTATAGAATCAGCCTGATCCCCTCTGTCGAAGAAGCTTGGACCTTCTTTTTTGATATTTTCAGTGGTATTGTTAACAAACACGTCCCCATAAAGAAAATGAGAATTAAAAACAGGTTCAGCCCCTGGTTCGACCGTGATCTGGCAGAGTTACTCCACCTCAAGAATTCCATTTGACGAAAGGCTCGACACATGCATACTCAGGCTGACTGGCTCTTGTTCAGGCAGATGAGAAATAAGTTCACTCAGGCTATCCGGAAGGCCAAAGTTAGTTATTTTAAGGAGCAGTTCTCTCTCTGTGGGTCTAACCCCAAGAAGTTCTGGAAAACGGTTAAAGACCTGGAGAATAAACACTCACAGCTGCCCATGTCCCTTAATGTTGATGATGTGGTTGTTACTGACAAGGAGCACATGGCTGAGCTCTTTAATCACCACTTCATTAAGTCAGGATTCCTATTTGACTCAGCCATGCCTCATTGCCCATCCAACATTTCCTAATCTCCCACCCCTTCTAATGCGACTAGCCCCGATGCTCCTCCCTCTTTCTCCCCTGCCCCGCTACAAAGTTTCTCCCTGCAAGCAATCACTGAGTCTGAGTTGCTAAAGGAGCTCCTTAAACTTGACCCCAAAAAACCATAACCTGTCTCTCCTCTCTGGGGAGGTTCTCATTGCTTGGAAGGCAGCCACGGTCTGTCCTTTATTTAATGGGGAGATCAAGCTGATCCTAACTGTTATAGGCCAATTTCTATTTTGCCCTGTTTATCAAAAGTGTTGGAAGAACTTGTCAATAATCAACTGACTGGCTTTCTTGATGTCTATAGTATTCTCTCTGGTATGCAATCTGGTTTCTGCTCAGGTTATGGATGTGTCACTGCAACCATAAAGGTCCTAAATTATGTCACCATTGCCCTTGATTCTAAGCAATGTTGTGCTGCTATTTTTATTGACTTGACCAAAGCTTTTGATATGGTAGACCATTCCATTCTTGTGGGCGTATTGGTGTCTCTGAGGGGTCTTTGGCCTGGTTTGCTAACTACCTCTCTCAAAGAGTGCAGTGTATAAAGTCAGAACATCTGCTGTCTCAGCCACTGCCTGTCACCAAGGGAGAACCCCAAGGCTCGATCCTAGGCCCCACGCTCTTCTCAATTTACATCAACAACATAGCTCAGGCAGTAGGAAGCTCTCTCAACCATTTTTATGCAGATGATACAGTCTTATACTCAGCTGGCCCCTCCCCGGATTTTGTGTTAAACGCTTTACAACAAATCTTTCTTAGTGTCCAACAAGCTTTCTCTGCCCTTAACCTTATTCTGAACACCTTCAAAACAAAGGTCATGAGGTTTGGTAAGAAGAATGCCCCTCTCCCCACCGGTGTGATTACTACCTCTGAGGGTTTACTTGGGAGTATGGCTAGACGGTACACTGTCCTTCTCTCAGCACATATCAAAGCTGCAGGCTAAGGTTAAATCTAGACTTGATTTCCTCTATCGTAACCATTCCTCTTTCACCCCAGCTGCCAAACTAACCCTGATTCAGATGACCATCCTACCCATGCTAGATTATGGAAACGTAATTTATAGATCAGCAGGTAAGGGTGCTCTCGAGCGGCTAGATGTTCTTTACCATTTGGCCATCCGATTTGCCACCAATGCTCCTTATAGGACACATCACTGCACTCTATACTCCTCTGTAAACTGGTCATCTCTGTATACCCGTCCCAAGACCCAATGGTTGATGCTTATTTATAAAACCCTCTTAGGCCTCACTCCCCCCTATCTGAGATACCTACTGCAGCCCTCATCCTCCACATACAACACCCATTCTGCCAGTCACATTCTGTTAAAGGTTCCCAAAGCACACACATCCCTGGGTCGCTCCTCTTTTCAGTTCGCTGCAGCTAGCGACTGGAACGAGCTGCAAAAAACACTCAAACTGGACAGTTTTATCTCCATCTCTTCATTCAAAGACTCAATCAAGGACACTCTTACTGACAGTTGCAGCTGCTTCACGTGATGTATTGTTGTCTCTACCTTCTTACCCTTTGTGCTGTTGTCTGTGCCCAATAATGTTTGCACCATGTTTTGTGCTGCTGCCATGTTGTGTTTCTACCATGTTGTTGTCATGTGGTGTTGCTACCATGCTCTGTTGTCATGTGTTGCTGCCATGCTATGTTGTTGTCTTAGGTCTCTCTTTATGTAGTGTTGTGGTGTCTCTCTTGTTGTGATGTGTGTTTTGTCCTATATTTTGATTTTTAATCCCAACCCCCATCCCCGCAAGAGGCCTTTTGGTAGGCCGTCATTGTAAATAAGAATTTGTTTTTAACTGAATTGCCTAGTTAAATAAAAAATACACTTGGCATTTACTCAACACGGGGCGGCAGGTAGATTAGTGGTTAAGAGCGTTGTGCCAGTAACCGAAAGGTTGCTGGTTCTAATCCCCGAGCCGACTAGGTGAAAAATCTGCCGATGTGCCCTTGAGCAAGGCACTTAACCCTAATTGCTCCTGTAAGTCACTCTGGATAAGAGCGTCTGCTAAATGACTAAAATGTAAATGTAACAACTGTACCTGAGAAAAATTCTAGATCACATGTTTCCTATGCAAACACTGCATTTGTGTACACAGACAATGACGGGAATAAGTTGAACACTTTAATGCTGTTTAACCATCAGCCAACTGAAAGCCTTTTTTATTTCAGTATGTATTTCTCCAGGGTGAGAGTTATTTTGATCAAAGCACAGTGTGAGAAGAGGACTTGTATGTGATGAGTAACCATTAACCACTGTCTTTCTGTCATGTAGGTCATACGGAAATAAGTCAAAATACAATTCCCACTTGATGATTTAATAACATACGTGTTTATGGTTGACTAGGCAGCAGTGTGCCCTGCTCATTTCAGCAGCTCTCTCTCTGCCATTCTCTCCTCTTACCCATACATGGACAGGCAGGGCCAGGGAGGAATGCAGGCCGACAGCTGAGAGGGAGGCTTACCTCAGCGCTAACAAAGCACTGCTGTTGGGCTATTAGCCTAGCCACAGACTACTAGGAGATAGTGCTGTTGTATAGCCTAGCCACAGACCAGTAGAGGTTGAGATACAAGCCCTGTCGTTGAGCTATTAGCCTAGTATTAGCCACAGACCAGAAGTAAAAGTCCTTCTGTTGAGCTAGCATAGCCACAGACTAGGAGAGGTTGAGATACAAGCCCTGTCGTTGAGCTATTAGCCTAGCATTAGCCACAGACCAGAAGTCCTTCTGTTGAGCTAGATGCTAACAAGTAGAAACATCCGCCACTTAAACAATTTAATGAGAAATTTGGCAGAATTAAAGAGATCAAATCCATTAAAATGTAATGTGCTCTGAAAACCATAATATTTCTCAGTCAACAGGCCATTTCAGTGATTGTTTCCTCTCCTCTGCTCTGGACTGTACTGAACTGGACTTGTCCTCTGCACTCCTAATGTGGTTTATTATGTGTATAATAATAGTTATTTCCACCTCTTCCCAAAATAAGTGTAATGAGTTTAGACTGGACAGCTCCCAGCATCCTCTCTGTTCTGCAGTAGGCCTTGCCCTGGCTAATCTGCCTGTAATGGCCTGGACCAACACACAAAGAGAGGGGGCTTTTCTCACCCCATCTCTCTGTCTCTCTCTCTCTGTCTCTCTCTCTGTCTCTGTCTCTGTCTGTCTCTCTGTCTGTCTCTCTGTCTGTCTCTCTGTCTGTCTCTCTGTCTGTCTCTCTGTCTCTCTCGCTCTCTCTCTCTCTCAGTGTGGTATGTATTGTAAGTGTCTACTATGCAAAACCCCACTGCCTGTCCTGGCACTCTCTGGAGAGATGGCTGTGCCTGTCAGCTGGGGCCGCTGACTCACTTTCTTCTGTTTCTTCTAGTTTTCCTCAACTTTCAATAAAGGTTTTTGGCACTATGTGTTCCCAGTAGGATCAGGTGGGGGAGTGTAAAGAATGAGACCTCCAGTCGTTGTCTCCAGAGTGAGAGCAGCAGGGACCTGATCTATTTCACATGTCACTGGGTTGTGTTTGGAGACAGACAGGGGGGGGGCGGATGGCGATGTGACATCAAGAAGAAACATTCCAATCTGACTGGGTGACAAAGACGAGAAGGAATCTGCTGTCAGCACATTCCTCGGTGTAAACACTGGAACCAATCACCAAGACAAACACACTCACATACAGTACACACATACACAGACAGACACTAATAAAAGCAGACAACCCCACCCCCCCCCCAAAAAAAGAAAAGAGCTATGGAGATGATGCTACGTTAAATCTAGAACACTTGTTTCTAGGTGGTTGATGGCAGCATTTGGAGCTCTTGAAGCAGCATGCGTGGCACGAGACCAAACAGAATAAGAGTAGCGCATCTCTGCATGGCATCCTATTCCTGACCTCACTGGGAGTAGCGCTGCAGACTACCATCTCTGCATGGCATCCTATTCCTGACCTGACTGGGAGTAGCGCTGCAGACAGACAAACGTCCCTGCATGGCATCCTATTCCTGACCTCACTGGGAGTAGCTTTGAGAGAGCACAGATAAGTATAGAACTGGCCCAGAGCAAACTAGCTAATTACTTTACATTCTCTCCATCTTCCTCTCTTTCCCTCCCCTCTCTCTCTGGTCTCTTCTAATGAGCCATCCACTCCCACATCCAGAGTAGAGCGCCTCTCTCCTCCTTCCTCTCCTCCCTTCCAGCATGGAATCCTGGGAATCTCAATGCAGATGGTGATTCCCCGGGGGAGGGGAGGGGGCGTCAGGCAGATTGTCCAAGCGAGGATGTAAAGTAGAACTCCCTCGTTACCGTGGGGCTGCGCTGAGAGAGACCTGCCTAGTTACTTACCCGGTTGTTAAGAGTAACGAGGCGTGCCACTGAGAAGCATCTGCTCCTGCTGGGTGTAAATCACCCTGGTTCTTCCACAGCGGGAGAAAGTCACGGGCCACCAGACATATCCACAACAGGTGGTCATGGGAGAGTGATGCTGGACACACAGCTGTTGCCCATGCTCTGGCTGCCCCAGCCAGCCTCAAGAACCAGGTCTCTGACTCCATTCTCCAGAGTCCTGTGACAGCCCCGGACCCTTTGCCCTTTGGTACTCCCAGGTCCCAGGCCTACTCAGTAACCAGCCCCTGGCCATGCTCCTCAGTGTAAATCTATGGGGCAGTCAGACACACATGTGCAGCAGATGTTGGGTGCAGTCAGCCAGTCAAGTGGCTGTGGGTTTCATTTACTGACTAGTGCTCTCGGTTTGCCCTTTCACCAGCTGGAGTGACGGATGGAGATTCACTCAAGTTCTCCACTAGAGCCAGACATACCAGATGTGTACATGAGCTAATCACACATGTGTTTCTACTTAGAAAGTACATAGGGGATTTGTAATTGTGTTATATTCCAAGTGTACTCCAGTCTCCTGATACAATTTATCAGGGACACAATCAAATACTTTTGTGTAAATCTGTCTGGTATGTACAATCTCTGAATAACCTTGAGATTAGGGGAAGTCTGTTCAGTGTGTGTGTGTGTGTGTGTGTGTGTGTGTGTGTGTGTGTGTGTGTGTGTGTGTGTGTGTGTGTGTGTGTGTGTGTGTGTGTGTGTATTGGTTGGTTCTTCTATTCTTGTGGGGACCTAAAATCCCCCAAAGCCCCCTCAAGGATAGTAAAACAAGGAAAATGTCCCACGTCCCCATGAGGACAAAGGCTATTTTAAGGTTAGGGTTACAATTAGGGTTACAATTAGGTTAGGGTTAGGAGTTAAGGGTAAGGGTTATGGTTAGGGTTAGGGGTTAGGGAAAATATGATTTTGAATGGAAATACATTTTAGGTCCCCACAAAAAAAACAAATTTTGTGTGTGCGTGCGTACTGTGTATGACTGAGACTGAACATGCCTCCATTCATATGTGTGATGGTAGGAAGTCATTTTTCTTTCCACTTCAGTTGAACCAAGACCAACAACTGACACTTCCTGTCCCTTGGGACACAGAGAGATGACCTGGGTAAGCCAGACACTTCCTGTCCTTGGGACACAGAGAGATGACCTGGGTAAGCCAGACACTTCCTGTCATTTCTCTCCAGGTATCCCTAGAGATGAGTAATAAAACAAGGAGGTAAGAAATCTCACTTACAGACGACTGCAACATACCTTAAACCCATAAGGAAGACAAACACATTCTGGCCCAATGTTCACAATTTCACACAACCTACATCCACATAAAGAGTTTATTTCCAAAAACGCTACATCCACCAATTTTTCACATTTGTGTTTTTTCATCAGAAATGATTGCTTATGGGTACCTTCATGTGTTTGTAAAGTATTACTGTTTTCAGATTTTAAAAAAAAGTTTTAGATTTCTTTTAGCGAAAAGCTATATATATTGTTTAGCTGGAATGGAATGTTCACATCCTGTATATTTGACTGTGATATGTGGTTGTCTCACCTAGCTAACTTAAAGGGATACTTCGGGATTAAGGCAATGAGGCCCTTTATCTACTTCCCCAGAGTCAAAAGAACTCATGGATACCATTTGTATGTCTCTGTGTCTAGTATGAAGGAAGTTAGAGGTAGTTTCGCAAGACGATGCTAACTAGCATTAGAGCAATGACTGGAAGTCTTAGCAACTGTGCTAGCGCTAGTTAGCAACTTCCTTCAAACTGCACGCAGAGACATAAAAATGATATTCACAAATTCATCTGACTGTGGGGAAGTAGATAAAGGGCCTCCATGCCAAAATCCTGAAGTATCCCTTTAAAGGAGAAGTTTACCCAAAATTCAGAAACTCCCAAGTGATTCAATAGATTGAAACTAGTTCAGTGGAGTTTGCCCTCTCCCTGTAGTTGTCACGGTTTTGGCCGAGGCTGCTCCTCCTCCTTGTTCGGGCAGGTTTCGGCGGTCGTCGTCCCCGGAGTACTAGCTATCACCGTTTGATGTTTTCGATGTCTGTTTGGTTTTGTCTGATTTGTACACCTGTTTCCTGTTTGGTTGATTATGTCTCCTATAAGTTTCTCGTTTGGTTAGACTTGTGTTGTGTGTTATTGTTCGCCTGTCATCAGGTCGGCTCGTTGTTTGTTTGTTGTTTTCCCTGTCGTCGCACTGTACTGTTTTCGTGCGCCTTGGATTACTAGCCTTTTGCGCATTGTATGCGCATAGTCCGCCTCTTGTTTGTTTTGAGGCCAGTGTTTTGTATATTTTTGGTCGTGTTCAGTAAAGTATTGGACTGAGCTTCTGTGTCTGCGTTTGACTCCTTCACCACATCTACATCAGCCGTTGTGACAGTAGTGCTGTAATGAAACAGCTGCAAAAACGGGTCACGTGACTCATGAAGCTGGATGCAGGCCTTGCTCTGCTCCGTTGCCAGTGAATTCATGATTCAGAAATCTGCGAAGTGTGGACAAATTCGTTGTTTAATTGAAAGCCTACGGCCGAATTAGCTTTTGAATCAGGAAATGTGTACTTTTCCACCTAAAACTTTAGCGATTATTTTAGATCATTATTTTATGTAGCCGACTGCCACAGCAGCAGAGATGGGTAACTGCTCAGTCTGGAGGAGTTCGTGGTGGAAGTACAGAAAGTGTTCGATTCTCCGTTGTCTGGGAGAGAGGCTGTAAACTGCTACAGCTATGTCAAGACTCGCGTAGTGTGGCAGACTACGCAGTGGATTTTCGCACGTTGGCGGCTGAGAGTGCCGGAAACCCGGAAGCATTGTTGGACATGTTCCTTCACGGATTATCGGAGGTGATCAAGGATGAGCTCACAGCCCGGGAGTTGCCCATGACCTCGACTCCCTCGTAGCCTTGACCATCCGGATCGACCGCCTCCGAGGAATCCAGGAATCTCCCGAAGTCTTTTCAGAGAGAATCCGATGTCACCCGAGTGCTAACGGGAATCGGCGAGGGCGGTCGACTCGCCTCCTCCCGAGCCCAAGCTACTGGGAAGGGCTCAATTGTCTCCGGATGAACATTTACGCAGACTGAACACCAGGAGCTGTCTGTATTGCGAAACTACAGGACATTATATTTCCACCTGTCCATTAAAAAGACCAGGCTCATCAGTAGGTATGAGTACTCTGGTGAGCCGTACAGGGATTTTCCAATCTCCCATTACTTGCACCCCTCTCCATGCTACCCTGTTGTGGGGTGACCAGGCCAAATCACTCCGGGTGCTCATTGACTCTGGGGCCGATGAGAGTTTTATCGATGCTACCTTGGTGTTGGAGCTGAGTATCTCCACTCAACCACTCTCCATTCCCATGGACGTCAGATTGCTGGATGGGCAATCTATTGGCAGAGTCACCCGCAATACGATTCCTATCAACCTACGAGTATCAGGAAATCACAGTGAGTGTACGCAGTTCCTGCTCATAGAATCTCCCCATGTACCCGTGGTTTTGGGATATTCATGGTTCCAGAAGCACAATCCCCTGATCGACTGGGCTACTGGTGCCATCGTGGGTTGGAGCCCGTTCTGCCATGCTCAATGTCTTAAGTCGACCCAGCGTGCCCCAGGACGTCTTCCTGCAGGTTTAAGAGAAGCCTCGTCTCTCCCTCCGCATCAACCCTACGACTGCGCCATTGACCTTCTCCCGGGCACTACACCCCCTGGTTTACTCCCTGTCGGGTCCGGAGACCAAGGCAATGGAGGAGTACATTGAGAACTCTCTCGCTGCAGGGAGTATTCGTCCATCGGCCTCTCCCACCGGCGCAGGGTTCTTCTTTGTGGAGAATAAGCACAAAACTCTGCACCCGTGTATCGACTACAGGGACCTTAATGACATCACGGTTAAAAAACGTTACCTTCTACCACTCATCTCCTCGGCTATTGAGCCTCTTCAGGGAGCGACCATCTTTTCTAAGTTGGACCTTCGGAACGCCTTCCATCTGGTTTGGATACAAATCAAATCAAATTGTATTTGTCACATGCGCCGAATACAACAGGTGTAGACCTTACAGTGAAATGCTTACTTACAAGCCATTAAAAAACAATGCAGTTTTACGAAAGAATACCAAAAAAACCCACAAAAAAAGACAATATCAAATAATATGAAATAAAAGTAACAAATAATTAAAGAGCAGCAGTAAAAATAACAATAGCTAGGCCATGTGCGGGGGCTCCGGTTAGTCGAGGTAATTGGGGTAATATGCACATGTAGGTAGAGTTATTAAAGTGGCTATGCATAGATAATAAACAGAGAGTAGCAGTAGCATAAAAGAGGGGTGGGGGGCAATGAAATAGTCTGGGTAGCCATTTGATTAGATGTTCAGGAGTCTTATGACTTGGGGGTAGAAGCTGTTTAGAAGCCTCTTGGACCTAGACTTGGCGCTCCGGTACTGCTTGTACAAAACCCTTGTTGGCAATCACAGAGGTCAGACGTTTCTTGTAGTTGGCCACCAGGTTTGCACACATCTCAGGAGGGATTTTGTCCCACTCCTCTTTGCATATCTTCTCCAAGTCATTAAGGTTTCGAGGCTGACGTTTGGCAACTCGAACCTTCAGCTCCCTCCACAGATTCTCTATGGGATTAAGGTCTGGAGACTGGCTAGGCCACTCCAGGACCTTAATGTGCTTATTCTTGAGCCACTCCTTTGTTGCCTTGGCCGTGTGTTTTGGGTCATTGTCATGCTGGAATACCCATCCACAACCCATTTTCAATGCCCTGGCTGAGGGAAGGAGGTTCTCACACAAGATTTGACGGTACATGGCCCCGTCCATCGTCCCTTTGATGCGGAGAAATTGTCCTGTCCCCTTAGCAGAAAAACACCCCCAAAGCATGTTTCCACCTCCATGTTTGACGGTGGGGATGGTGTTCTTGGGGTCATAGGCAGCATTCCTCCTCCTCCAAACACAGCGAGTTGAGTTGATGCCAAAGAGCTCCATTTTGGTCTCATCTGACCTCAACACTTTCACCCAGTTCTCCTCTGAATCATTCATGTTCATTGGCAAACTTCAGATGGGCATGTATATGTGCTTTCTTGAGCAGGGGGACCTTGCGGGCGCTGCAGGATTTCAGTCCTTCACGGCGTAGTGTGTTACCAATTGTTTTCTTGGTGATTATGGTCC